AGACAGCAAGCGGGAGCCATTGGTTGAAGTCACAGATCTGATTATCTTTTGTTGAAGTTTCTTAAAAGTTTTAATCATATCTTGCAATTTTTTTCTTTTTATCTTTGCACAATAACAGTTTCAATTTCCAGCTGCCAGGCAGTACCCATGGTGCTAATGATGTTCATTGTGCACTAATATTAGCAATTTGACTTCATCTGTTATTGATTGGACCATAGTAAACTAAAATCTGTGCGCTCTGGGGTTCACCACTCTGCTTATTATCATAGTCCTGAATTGTATGTCCTTGCTGGGTACATTAGTTAATGTTTGTTTCCTGAAATCTCTTCTCCTCCTTCTTCTGGGAAATGCACATTGCAACATCAGCTGAAACCTCTGTCCTTGTGTTCTTTGTTATTTCCTGATAATTCTTCTTCATTTCAGTTTCTTGTTAGTAGTTCTAATTGGTATTCATAGTTTGTAATATTTCCTGCGTTTTTATGTGTTCTGATTCTGCTAAAATTCTGTATTAATCACTGACTGTATGCTCAACCCTCCATTGAGGATTTGTTACATTCCCTTCCTGGAATATGCTTCTAATTCTGTGGAACTTGTGTAGACGTTTAATTATTCTGTGTAAATTTTGTTTACTTTTTTTTTTTTTAGTTTCTTGAGCTAGCGATTGGAGTGGTAGGTGGCAGCCACAATTAGACCCATGCTCCTGGTGTCTATATTGCTGCGAAGCAAGCTGGCCAAATCCCGAAACACTCATTTATTCTTCTTTTAGGGAAACTAGAGTGGGTTTGGGTCACTTATTTTAGGATTTTTAGTTTAGGTTTTCAAATTTTTTTTTCTTTGTTCTACAAAAAGTTTTAATATATTAGAGGATTCCCAGAGCTCTATGGGTAATCCAACAAGAAAGCAGAGGTCATTGCTGTGCAACTCTATTAGTCTAAGGGTTACACAGGGCACTTGGAAAATTCTTCTGAACGATGGAAACTGACTGCTGGAAAACGTAGGTTAAAAAAACATCAGTTTTGCTGAGTTTGCATAACGCGTTTATGCACGTTTTGTGTTTTTAGAAGCTTTTTAAAAAAGATAACCTCAGGAGACCTTCTCAAATGCCCGGAATGCACTGAAAAATAGTAAATTCACTAAAAAAGCTATTAAAATACAGCAGGCGTTATTTTAACAAGTCATGCGGTATTTTAGGTAGTGAAAAGCATGCATTAATGTTTCAGCTGTCAGGGGGGTTCCCACTGACAGCTGAATGTAAAAGAAAGAATTGCCGGCAATTAAAAAAATAATTTAAAAAACGGCGTGGGGCCCCCCTCCGTCCATACCAAGCTCTTCGGGTCTGGTATGGGTCTTGAAGGGAAGCCCCACACCAAAATGGTGTGGGGTTCCCCCCTCAAAATCCATACCAGACCCTTATCCAAGCATGCAGCCCGGCAGGTCAGAAAAGGGGGGGGGGGGGCGAGCGAGCGTCTCCCCCCCCCCCCCCCCCCCCCCCCCCCCCTCCTCCTGAACCATACCAGGCCACATGCCCTCAACATGGGGGGTCAAAGCACCTTGTCCCCTCTTCCCCACAACCGTGGCCGGTGGTTGTGAGGGTCTGCGGGCGGGGGGCTTATCGGAATCTGGAAGCCCCCAGATCCCGGCCCCCGCCCACATGAATGAATATGGGGTGCATGGTACCGCTACCCATTTACAAAGAAAAGCTGTAGTGTGGAAGAAAGAAAGGAGTCATTCTTTGACATGTCCTTTAATAAAAGAATAAAAGAATGTCCCCCGAAGTAGATCCAACATCAATCACGATGTCCGCCATCGCTGGCCCCTGGCCGTCTGCTGAGAAACTGGTTTGACAGTTCTTAAATTTGTAAGGGCGGGGCCACCCGGTGACATCACCCATGTGACATTGACCGGTGCATGCTAGTCACTGACGTCACATGGGGTGGGGTCACTACAACATAAGGACAAGGTATGGTTCACGGGGGTGTCGCTCGGCCCCCAACCCCCCCTTCCCATGCTAGGCTGCATGCTCTGATACGGGTCTGGTATGGATTTTGAGGGGGAACCACACACCATTTTTTTAATTGCCGGCAATTCTTTCTTTTACATTCAGCTGTCAGTAGGAACCCGCCGCTGACAGCTGAAACATAAGGAGGCATGCTTTTTACTACTAAAATTCCACATGACTTGATAAAATCATGTGTTTTTTTTAGTGGATTCAAATGGGTTTTTTAAAAAAAATTGCTATGCGGTATTCTACCGCATACTCGGACGCGGTAGGATACCGTTTAGTGAATTGTGCCCTGGATATGGACCTGTCAAAAAACGCTTCTAAACGCAAATGCCTATAAACACGGTTAGCCGCGTTTACAAGCATTTGGCTATTGAAACGTTGATTGAATCTACTCCTGAATGCAAGTTTGCTGCGTTCAGAAAAACGACAGTAAACTCAACTGCCTGTAAATGACATATTGTACAAGGACACATAGGAAAACATTAGGGAGAGGTCAGGGGCTGCTGAAAAAAAATGCAGAAAAGCTCCTGAACATGAGTTTATCAGCTGCAGTGTACATGAACCCTAACAGACATCAGGTTTATGTGATAAGAAATGAATCCCCCTCCTCCCCCCATGAGTAATTCCAAAACATCAGAATTTTTTTCTAACAGGTTGATGATAGATAAAAGGGGAAAAGATCTACAGTTGATGGCTGAATGCATAAAGACAATACAAAATATTAGGTAAACAACGGCCAAAACCTTTTTTTCTTCCAATGGAATGTAGAAGGGTTATCAATTCTGTCAGGCTCTTATTTCCTTCCATGTCTCCTTGGGGAGGTTTTCCCCAGTTTCTATCCCTGTATATGATAAACTTTTTTTTTTTCTAATGGAGGCAGGGGGGGGGGGGGGGGGGGTCTGGCTGCGTGCCATCAAAGACAAGGACAGCAATACAAACATTGTTACCAATAAACAAGAAGTAAGAAAGTGTCAAGGCTTCTTTGTAATTTTGTTTTTAGAGATTTCCCATAATTTTTTATTCTGACCAGTCCAAAACAAAGTAAAAACATTTTGGTTGGCGATATAACTGTTTGTCTTTTGTCAGTTGTCCTTTTGAGAGCATTACTGGCAATTTCAAGTGTCTGCAGACATAGGCCGCTCTGCATATAGAGTTTTATATAATTGTATAAGAAGGCAACCATGGTATTCCTTTAGATGTGCACACTCATGTCTCATGAACAATCAGCAAGGAGTTTGCATGTCATAAAGTGTTACAGATAAACTATAAAACTTCTCTCCCCCTCTCAGCACATTCCCTTTAATATACGCTTTCTGCTTCTCCAGATTAAAAGGATGCGGCTTCATGTGTATAAAGAGAAACAACTTCAGTTGTCAGAGGAGCAATTTTCATTACAATAAAACTGCTGTTTTATTATTACTGGAAATGTTGTAGCTAATTATCACATTAAAGAAATAACCTTTGAACTTATATCAAGTGCTAGAATTCCAGGCAAGCCGATTTTCCCGGAGTGTCTTATTAATATGATGACATTTACTGGAAAGCAATGCTAATGTTGTCTTTAACAGATGTTCAGCTGCAGTATTCCCTCCGTAATCATGCACTTATTCTTTAGGGCAGCCCTTTCATTTGAATGGGGTGCCATTGCACCACAATGGACTGAAAATTGCACCATTTTTGGTAACCCTTCACTGGAGAGCCTGGTGCACTGTCAATGCAGGTGCATGCACCTAGTGCTTTGAACTTCTGCTGAAAATGAATGGCACTGCAACATACTACAGTATATGTAATGCATAGGGGTGAACAAGCCCCAAGGACTCATTCAGTTGGGTGAGCTGCCCCATCTTCTGTGCAGAGCTGTATTTTGCTGACTGCATCCACCTCAGAGCTACAAGCAGGCAGCCCATAGAAGTGATTGCAGGCGCAGCAGCTGTATGGACACACATGTCAAAATTTTACATGCGGGCAGGAGCAAGGGAAAATGGATCTGAACACAGACACTGTGCATTCATTGTCCATCTGAATGAGCCCTAAAATTGATCCTGAGCAGTAACTAGTGACTAACTGGCCTAACAAAAGCATGCAGTTAGCCTGAACTGCCCACACTGCATAATTGTGCCAGGTCATTAACTCATAAGCAGTGAGTTTAGTTTAGGTTTCCAAAGATAAGTCTGTGTGTGGGAAAAAAAATACATAATAATTATATATATATATATATATATATATATATATATATATATATATATATATATATATATATAATCATCATATTTCCTTGAAGAAATCATAAATTTAGGACAAAATGTAGTCTTTCATATCTTTGGTACAAAACAAACTGAGATTTTGGGGACACTATACAATTAGGGACACTAGTATAGTTCTGATTGTTACAAGATACTGATCTGTACAGACACTATACTAGTAATGGCGGTGATCAGAGACTTATAGTGTGGTGGATAATCTGACGCTGACACTGATGTCGCTAGTGACACTAATACAGTGATTAGTGATAGTACTGTGCTAATGACACTGTCTGGGAAGAGGTTAACATTAAGGGGCAATGAAGGGGTTAACGGTGTGCTTAACAAGTGTAATGTGTGCTTTTTTTCTCCCTGCTTTTCAGGGAGAAGAAACAGCCAGATGGCTGTTCTTTGTGTTTGTAAAGACAGACCTCTGTGCTGTGATTGGCCACAGCTGATCAGAAGGTTTCAGTTAAGATCATTGGCTGAAACTTGCTGTCAAACTTGTGCTATGTCCAATCTCAGCACTGGGCAGCAGGTGATCCACGCCCATAGACCAGGATGTTCATCTCGCCGTGAAGGTACCCTGCAGTGCCTGGCTGTGCTTCCCGCTCACAGTAATCTGAGGGTGGGTGGCAAGTGGTTAAAAAAACGCTTTTACAATCACTTTAAGGTTTTGTAATTAAATCTTTCAACTCAAAACATTTAATACATTATTTAATTCACCTTTTCTTTTTTTTTTAGGTGACGCCAACATGATCTCCTTCTACATTTTCTGTTTTTTTGCCATCATTATCGCTGCAGGTATGCTGAGTGCTAGAAGTGTCTGTAACTGAGAATATATGCTGGTTGAGCACTGCATAAGATACTTTGTCACTCCTAACTCATTCAAATCAAGGTAACAGGTTCTGTTGTAAGACCAACCCTCTCCACTTATGATCCTGGTCTTCCTGTTGCTCCCCTACCTCTCTGTGAGAGCTGGGAATCTGAATCATGTGTAAGCTCCATGTCACATGGTCCTGGAGCGTATACAAGGTTGATTCCCTTCTCCTCCTTTTCAGGTGGTGGTTTTCAGATCTGGTGATTAACCATTTGAGTACAAGCACTTTATCCTGGGAGGAGGTCAACATGTCTCTGCTTCTAAAGGAACTGAATATTTACCAAGAGACACAGTGGGGCAGCAGGTCAGCGTACATTAGCTGGGGGTTTTTTCTGACAAGACAACCTTTCACATTTATCTGAAATGGAGAGCGACCCATGAGATGTTTGCCCTGAGACCACCAATGCCTAAAAAGCCAGGGTACACTGTCAGCCCTTTTTCTGTTTTAGATGACTGTAGGGAAAAACAAGTCCAGTTTTATAATTTTGTCTCCAGTATCACTTTCCATGCTTGTCAGCCGAGCACCTTAAAAATATAAACTCAAGAGGCAGAATGAGTGTAGATCTGAGCTGAGAGCAGACATCTACAGAATTTAGTATATTCGAAGGTAAAAGTTGGCTAACTTTTCTATTCAGTATTAATCATGTTTCCTTCAATAAGAACCAGTCACAACTGGGCTTATGCAAGAATCTGAGTGTTCAGTCGTAAGAACTCCAGTCTTGTCTGTTTCTTTCGCCTCCATTTCTGCCTCTGGTGCTTGGTGGCAAACTGTGTTGTTCTGTAATATACTCCTCTTCTTCTCATTATGGGCCTCCAGATTGAGGGGCATTACAACAAGCACCCTTCCTGTCTGCAGAATCCCAGTCACCCACAATTTTTGATATAAGAATATAGTTGTCCTTATAAATGAGCTAGCTTAATGGTGGTGGGAATAATTTACTTATGCTTATTTATCTTTTTGATTTGCCTGCCTCATTCTCTTCAGATTATATCATGGGGTGTCACTGACCATGATATCCAGAGAAAGTCAGAATCCTTTTAAATACTTGTTCCTGTGTTTGTTTTTTTTTTGTTTTTTTTCCCAAGTAATAACTAATATTTAATTTTTATTACTTTGGTTGCAGGTGGGTCATCTGCCTCGTCCTGCACTTCTATCAGCCCGCAGACGCCTTTCGCTGAACTTTATTCCAATGTTACCGCATACTGTATATTAAATCACACCTGTTTGCTGGAAAATAGCTACAATATCAAGAGTGACGAATTGTACTGGGAGGTTGATGTGCGGCGTATTCCACAGAACCAGTATACTATCATCAATGAGACAACTTCCAGGGTGATCTTCCAGCCAACCTCGACCTCTGTCAATTTGCTGTCCTGCAATACCGACATACATGGACAGATTAAAACAACTTTGATGGGAGCGTATATCAACATAGGCTGTAAGAGTTCTCTTTGCTTTAAATCTTTGTTAAAGTTCTCCATTTACCAGTGTATAATTCACCAATTATGTATGCAGTTCTGACTACACAGCAGCAGCTCTAGTTCTCAGGGCACTATTTCTCCAAATTGCCAGTTCGGGAACAAAAGCCACACACGCGGAGAAGGGGGGACAGAGTAGTGGCTTGCTGCCCAACTTTGTTTGATTCTATGGACGCATATAGGTGCTGGCGTTACCACACGCACAGAGGTGTCTACTTGGGTCCCTGTAAAGGGACAGAGCTACCCAAAAACAGGACATAGAGAACAGGCAATTTTGACAGACGAGGTGCAAAGGAAGCAAAGGCTTAAAAAGAAAACCACACAGAGAAGGTAGTAAATGGAGAGGTCTGCAACACTAAAGCCCCATACACACAATGAGAATATTAGACGAATGATTGTCTGTGTTTTGTTTTTTTTTTTGTTTTTTTGCATGCTAGTTCCTTATCAGAAGTGAAGAAGTTACTAAATTTAAGAAAATTCTTGCATGACAAAATTCGGAAGTGATGTAATGTATTTGTGTTGTGTTTTCGGATGAAAGCTGTACTGATTAAATGAAAATCGTACAATCTGGTATTGTACAAGTAAACTTGCCGTGCTTGTCCCTTCAAATAATTTTGGACGAAAGCTGTGTACAAACGATTTAACGTACGATTGCTTAAAGCTGTATTTTCGTACAATTTTCTGACCTTGTGTACTTGGCTTAGCTGATTATTACATTTTGTGGATCCAATAACTCTCTAATTCAGCTAAACAAAGGAACACCTAGAAACATAAGTTCATTGTCTCACAATCTAGCCAATGACTTTGGTGTCATTCATTCTTAATGGCTATTCAACACACCAAGGAGTCATTAAGAAAAACTCAAGGTGTTCTCTAAATAGCATTTGTGCCAAGTGACCAACTTCCTGTGTTTACTATGCAACAGGGCAGTCGCTCGGCACAGGATCTGGAAGACGGCAAGGATCACTGTAGTAGCAGAAGCAACTATTAAGTGATTCTCTGCTTCCACAGAAATCAGCTATGTATGTATAATGCATACCACATTGACCTACGCTGGGCCAATATAACTATACAAAGAAATAAGAACATACATGGAATTGTGCTTTAAAGTCAACTTTTTTTTGTCCATTTGAAAAATGATTTAAAGAGAATGCTTAAAATGTATGCTATTAAATCCCTTTTTTTTAATCTAAGAATACAGTCAGCCAAACACAAGAATTTATACAATTCAACACCGTACACGGTAATAATTCCGTTTTATAACTGTCTCTTGGAATATACTGGCTATTATGTTAAAGAGCACTAGAGAGACATCATATGTCATCAATATGTAGCATTACCAGCTAGTAAGTGAGGAACTTGGATAATAGTTGGGGTTTGACTGACTTCTCTGTTTTTCAAAATTTGTAGGGGAAATCAGGAGAAAGAAAGAGATGGAAAGGAGGCGAGGGAATCAAGAAGGAAGGTGTTGGTAAAAAAAATAGTCTAAATAATAAAGGGGGGGGGGAGCCACTGAGGGATAGCAGGCTTCATGAAAAGGGGTATGGTGTAGGGTGAAGGGGTATAGTGAAGGATATCTAATTCAAGAAGGGAGGAAAAGGTACTAATTTGGAGGACAAGTTATGAACCTTGAGTCTGGCCTGATAGGGGATGTTTATATTTTCTCACAAGAACTAATGCATATCTTATCTATCTTCGCCTAGAACACAGTTCTAACTGTATTATTTTCCTTAATATTGCAGTTCCTCCTGAAAAGCCAGAGAACCTGTCCTGCATTTGTTATAATAAGGACAAATTGACATGCACTTGGAAACGTGGAAGAGCAACAATAATCACCACTACATACACCTTGAAACAGTCATGGTAAATGGGGTTTATCTGTTTTCAGTCTGTACTGTCCTGATACAGTAGCACATACTACCCATAATATGCATAACCTTTGTTTTGCAACACATTTATTAAGACTCCCAGAGCACTGTAGGTTACTTAGAAAGATAGCCGAAAAGGACTGCTTGCTTTATAGCACCTTTAGTCTAATTGAAACCTTGGACTGAACATTGTAGGTCACTTGGATGAGCCTTTAGTCCACAGAGGCTGTAGGTAGAGCCTGCACCATCATTAATTCTGAAGTGGTTATATGATATCCAAGGAGGAGGACATGAAATTGGTCATGTGAGATTTTTAGATATACTGCTATCAGTGCCTGGGTGGTTTCACTTTTTTCTCTGTTTTGTTAACCTTTATGATGAGGTTGCTGCGAGCTCAAACATATCCACTTTTAAAATTGTGTTCACCAGCCTTCTGTACATTAGGGCAGGGCTGTAAAATATTTATTATATGCTGCTTTAAATGCTTTGTCTTTAGATCCTTAATCTCTAATTTATGTACCCCAGTGAAGCGGATCACACACAGATTGTGCTTGATCAGCATCTTGCCCAGTGTCTTCACCTATGTTCATTTCTCCCTCTGTTCCACCTTCCTGCTCACCTCACGCCTGTCCCCAGCCCGCAGGAGGGAGCGAAACCTGTGATTCATGGCAGGATTGAGTGGGGGTGGGGCAGGAAGTACCTACGGGATAGAGTTGAAGTGCTCAAGTCCCCCAATTAACTTGCAAAATTCGACTTGAGGGCAGTAAACGCAGTCCTGGCTGCTATAGCTTATATAGTTTATCATTTATAAACGGCACTAGTGAACAAGTGTAGCTGCTGGCAATAATTACATGCTAGAAATCAGACAGGTTGATTGTACCCAAGTGGATCGATGGATTTACTTGGGTACAAATTGCCTGCCCGCACATTGACAGCTGAGATTCGAACCATCTATGGCTGCCTTTAGTCTCTGCTTGTCAATTGTTGAGATATGGTATTGGCCATACAGGCGATGCATTGTGTGTCTACTGCTTCTTCTCACAATACAAGCCTATGAATCAGCTAAGCAAAACTATTGTGTAGCACTGGAAAGTAAGCAGCTGAGCATGTGTATGTAATTCGCAAATATGGCTGTTCCTATGTATCTCTACACAGAAACCTACGTTAAGGTTATTTACATCAGTTGGTATCTTTTTACCTGTATGTCTAAAATATTGATAAGACTATACTTTCTATTTATTTTACGTCCATTAATCAGAATGTTTCCATAAAAATTTATAACCTGAAAGTTGATGTGTCGGTGGGCTGATGTCTATGGCTATTGAAAATTCTTAGAGGCAATGCAGTGTCACTTCACTTTTCAGAAAGTTAAAATAATGTGCCACGTTAAAGGCACAAACCATTGTATAACATGCTCCGTACAGGTTTCCAGTCACTATAAGAGTTTGATGGTGATATTAAGCCAAGAATTGTGGAATCCACCGATAAGGTGTCATTCCAGCTTTGTGGGAAGGGCTAGGACACAACTGCTATGGGGGAAGTATGGCCAATAGGCTTTCTGCAGCTTTCTATACAATCCTTGTGCAGAGTTCTCCTTTACCTGTAACCAGTGTTTTCTTCCTGTCTCCAGCTTGTCTAACCTCCTTGGCTGTCTTCTCCTTTTGTGTCTGCTTGTCTTTTCTGCACTACAATAGGAAGGGAATGGACGAGGACTATAGCCCTGAATTGATGAAATACAAGTTTAATAGCTACCCTGCTGCTAGGGCAAGGGGGAGGAGCTCAAATCTCTCCAAAAATGACTATCCTAAAAAACAGATACCCTCGGGGTACAGGTAAGGGGATCCCTCAGTGTAAACTTTATTCTAAACAACCCCTGAAATGAAGAAATTGCACTGTTGTATTGCTCTTGCACTCTGGTGGTGAGAACCCCTGTCATGTTGCATACTCTGCTCCCCCTTCACCTCCTACTGTAACAGATTTTCACTCCTCTTGTTGCATGCTCTGTTGTGTTAACTGAAGAAAAAAAAAACAAAAAGCGAGCGTGAGATGTGCTTATGTTGGCAATGCCAAGCAGACAGACCTGAAATGTGTGTGCTTGCCACCTGAATGTACGGAACATTAAAATAAAAACAGTACAAAAAATAATAGCGCATTGTGATAACCAGGGCTCAGCAAATAACAATTGGTTATTTCCCCTTTTTGTGTTCGGGGTTTTTTGTTTACTTTTGGATAGGGTGGAGAAAGGTTAGGTTAGAATCTCATGGGTTTATCAATGTATTTTCCTTTGGAAGCAAGAAGAAATAACTCCAACAAGGATATAGACCACAGTAAATGCACTTTTCTTATTAGAAGGGGTGGTTGAGTTGGAGCCTCTGTTGGTTTTTTTGTTTAGTTTGGGTTTTATTTTTTATTTTTCTTGTCCCTATTGAGAGATTCTCCTCAAATTCTGCCTGTAATGGAAATTGAGTTTAGATCTGCTGAAAAGGGGGCTAGACACCAATAAAATTATAGTATTTTGCACCCACTGCCAAGGCTAGATAATCCCTTTTATTAAATGGTGCAGATTCATTTGAGGATTAGATTCCTCTTTCTTAAGGTTGCGTAAATCATAGTCATAAAAATGTATTTATCAGACAATAAATTCCATGCAAGATAATATACACAAAATCACAATCATTTTTATTAATACATATTGTCCTTTTTAAGTTAACATATACAGGGTATTGCAGGCAAATTAACCACTTCAGCTGTGAAAGGTTTTACCTCTTCGTGACTTCATGATTTTTTTGCTCTTTAGCACTGCGCTACATGCCTTTGCAGGGCACACAGGGCTCTTCACTGTGATTGGACACAGCCGATCTGCTGACAAATTCCCGCTGTGTACAATCACAGTGGGAGGCGGCAGGTGGGGGTGCGTGTCCTGTATCTGGAAGAGGCTAGCAATGTGCAGGTACATTGCTATGTCTGTACGGGCAGCTCAAGTAAAAATGCCACCTCATAAGATATTAGATTTTGCCATATATTCTACATATATTTATAGTGTTCATATTTCTATTATCACAGTTTGAACATTGACAGAATGGGGATTGATTGATTGAATTTTTTTTTTTTTTTAAAGTCATAGAAATCTCTGACTTTAGGTTATCTGCTTTTTTTTTTTATTGTGTATTATCCCTCTCTTGTATTAAGAGGTATAGACTCCAGAGAGAGAGAGAGATAATTTTACCTCTGCACAAATCATTAGTAATACCAGATCTGGAATATGCAGTTCAGTTTTGGCCACCAATTCACAAAAAGAACATTGGGGAACTGGAGAAAGTGCAGAGAAGGGCAACCAAACTGATAAGAGGCATGGAGGAGCTCAGCTATGAGGAAAGATTAGGGGAGCTGAATTTATTCTCTCTTGAGAAGAGGAGATTAAGGGGGGATATGATCAACGTATAAATACATCAGTGGTTCATATAGTGAACTCAGTGTAAAGTTATTCACCCTGAGGTCATCAGAAGACAAAGGGGCACTCTTTACGTCTGAAGGAAAAGAGATTTAATCTCCAAATACAGAAAGGTTTCTTTACAGTAAGAGCTGTGAAAATGTGGAATAGACTCCCTCAAGAGTTGGTTCTGGCCAGCTCAGTGGATTGCTTTAAAAAAGGCCTGGATTATTTCTTAGATGCACAGAATATAACTGGATACTAACATTTATAGGTATAGTTGATCCAGGGAATATCCAATTGCTAATGGCAGTGTGGATAGGGCGGCGCCCGTGTGCCCCGTACCTGGAAATGCAAATCACATATATGTACGTGATTTTGGCAGCCCTGCCGCCCTGTAGCAGCGGATACCTTCACAACTAAGTAAACAAATGACATAAAATGTAGGACAGTATGCAGGGTAAAGTCTTGGGAACTGATAGAGGTGGGATCTGATGTTTGATAGGAGATGTGTTGCTTGGAGCTGGCTGTTTTCCAGAAGTCACTAAAGAGCATTGGACGTTCTCAGGAGAGATTTGTAAACTTAGAATACATTTTGGAGCACTGAAGAAGTGGACACTATTCCTCAAACATGCTGGTATCGATACTTAAACATTATGGAGCAGCCTTTGGTCGTAAAAGTCCACCACTACCACAATGTCGACTCCCCATCAGTCCTGTATATTGCTCCACCTGTAGCTAAACACAGCTGTCTGAGGTTCTAAGCCTTCCCCACACCAACTATAAGCCTAAAGACAAATGCAGTCTCTGGAGTTGTACTTCAAAAAACATGAGTGCTGATTCTCGCTGCTGAGATCACCCAGGTTTTGTCAAGCCATGATTAATAAAAAGATTGAACTTATTCAGTAAGGCATTGCAGAATCTTGTAACATTTATCAATTTTTTTTTCTTTTTTTAGGAAAGAAGATAAACGGGCTGATTGTGTAACAGAAAATGACACTTGCACGTTGTACTTTCCAGATTTTCAGTTGTTTATTGATACCACATTCCAGGTGGTAGCGAAAAATGGTCTTGGGACGGCTGAATCTGATGAACTTAGACTCGATATTATTGACATTTGTAAATATTTTTTACTTCTTTTAAATTTTTGGGGTTTTTTTTTTTTTGTCTACTCTATGACCTCTGATAAAACTGCCCAATTATCGCATTCTGAATCAATCAAGTTTGCACGATGATGTTTGTGATTTAACTCTTAAGCTGGCCATACATGGAGCAAAATTTTAGGTGGTTCAGCAGAGGGTACATGAATTTTGATCCATATATGGTCATTGTGGTTGTATAGCAGTCAATCTACCAATCAATTCTTCACAACCACCCTGTCAGATTTTTTCCCTCTCGGTCAGTGCTGGAACTATAGTTGCAACACTGAATAGTGCATTTTGACAGTGGGGGATGTCTCGCCGCTGTCAGAGTGCAATAGCTCAGATGGGATAGAAAGTTGTTAAAACAGGGATGATTCCCCTATCTCCATTGAGTGTGTGGATGGTGGAATTACAAAGTGACTTAGTCTGGCTGAAAAAAGACAAAAGTCCATCAAGTTCAACCATTAAAAAAAAAAAAAAGTTATAATCCTGTACCCACAGTTGATCCAGTGGAAGTCCCAGCAAAGCATGATCCAATTTGCTCCTGAACGGGAAAAAAAAACAATTTCCTGATCTCCCGAGAGGCAATTGGATATTCCCTGGATCAACCTTACCTATAAATGTTAGTATCCCGTTATATCTAGTCCTTTTTTATTGTTTTTTTGTTCAACCCACTGGGTGAATGAAAAAAAAAAAACAACTGGATAATCTATGGACTGCTTTACACTACAAATGTCACACAAATGAATCCTATAATATGTGGGCTGTAATTTCAGATGATTTCATTCTAGAGTGTATAGACTGTTTCATACCTCTTTGATCATAAAATATACCAAATAATGCTGTTATAGGAATTGCCCCAAGTGTAATGCATTTGTGAGTTGACTTTTTAAAGCCCATCTCAGGGAAAAGACAAACTGCTCCTTTGCAATGGGGTTTCCCCTGTACTGCAAGGATTAAATGCTAGTTTAGATCTAGAGCAGTGGTTCTTAACCTGGGTTCGATCGAACCCCAGGGGTTCGGTGAGTCAGTCTCGTGGGTTCGGCGGAGGTGAAGACCCACACCCGACTCATATGATTCGTGCAGTAAATATTCATTATTATGTTTTTGTTTTTGTGTGAAAATCATGTTTTAATGGTTTTGTTCATTTTGTGCACCTATGTATAAATATATACCTATGTTTTGAATTTGAAAAATCATATTTTATTTTTCCAATTAAGAAGGGTTTGGTGAATGCACATATGAAACTGGTGGGGGTCAGTACCTCCAACAAGGTTAAGAACCACTGATCTAGAGGGTCTCAAAAAGCAGTTTTGCTTGACCGAATCTCTGCTTCCTCAGAAGCTAGTTCTGTACTCTTCTCTGTGATGTGGTGGTAGACAGTTCCTTGGCACCCTCATGTACAATGCAGGGCTATGGGCACTGCAAAGTACTTGATGACATAGGAGGACCTGAAGCTGCTGGAGTGCAGGGAGGAATAGGTTAGAGGATTTGTCTTACAGCCTGGAGGGGAGCCTGCAGGAGTGGAGGATCAGGCAGGTAAAACTTTTTGCGCCCCCCTAGACCAAAACTATCATTTTATTATTACAGTGGGACATTTTTCCTTTCCCTGGAGTTCAACTTTAAGGACAGGGACTGACGTTGCTCACAGTATTCGTGATTACCCAAGAAGAAGAGAAAAAAACGATTCAAGTATCGATGAGAAGCTACATAGAGTCTGAAAACTAAAAGGAGATTGTTGGGCCCTGGCTGCGCTGTTTCCAGCTGCTACATAATGTCTTGTGCCTGCTGCTGTACATTAACCCAATAAATGCTCTCTGCCTCCTTCAAGTCTAAACCGATGTACTTTCAGTAAAATAACTAAAGAGTAATTATGTGGCCATAGTATTACATTTTATGGATTACAGGAGCATTAGAAGTACATTTTGTAATACCCATTGGCGATTCACACCTAAATATTGATTTTTTTTTTTTAATTTTATAGTTCGGGGGTTCAATTTATATAAACAATGGTTTGTGAACAGGTTTCCAAGAGGTTTACATGTTTGAAGCATGGACAATGCATGCAGGTTGAGAGCTGTGTTCAGGGTCTGAGGTAGTCTTCTAAGCATTGGCACCTGCTTCCATCACAGCCTCCTGTGAGGATAGTTTTGCTATACTGGTGTGCACTACTTCAGAAAATAGTGACAGACTGGCCCCTAGTTTTATCATTTTTATTTCATATCTTGTATATTTTGTAACATACATATATATTTCTTTTATTTGCACTATTGTAACATTGTTGTATAAGACTAAATTGTGTTTTTATTTTGCTTTCATTCTATGTGTGTAGTGAAGCCCAATCCCCCAGAAATTGAGAAGGTGGTTTCCTTGGCTCAGCTACAGAAGGCTCTGAAGATTGAGTGGAAGAATCCACTTAAGGAATCTTTGTTCCCTATCAGATACAACCTCAGATACAGGAAGAAAGACAGTACAGAGTGGGAGCAGGTAACTCTCCTGTTAAGTGTACATGTTCTGATTACGCTGGCCATCATTAACCCCATAAGTGTTTATGGAGACAGAATTTGTTTCTCTGTGCAGGGCTTGTGAGGTGGTTCAACATATGGAGGATTGTGCACTGCTTGTATCTGTGGATGGAGCCCTGTTGAAATTCTCTACTTTTTTTTCTGTAATTTCATTTTCATTTCTGACATCAGAACTCCTAGTTCATGCAGCGTAAAGGCTAACTCCATTTTTTGCACCATGTTACATCTGTATTTAAGGTGTAACTTGGTGCAAATGTCAATCCCCTTCCCTTATTACAGCATGAGGGGAGTTCTTCTCTCCCACAGCACCTGTCACTTGAATGAATGAACTACAACTCCGATCTGTCATTGCTGCAGACAGACTTGCAATTCTCAATAGAAGTGCGGTAATTGCCACACGTGCAATTCATTGACACTTTCTCTAGCTTTTTAACTAAAAGTCTGTTCCTCAGTATAAGCAGAGACGATGGGAGATTTTGCAGGAGCCTGGCATTGCATCCATGATCCACTTATTGGGGAAGCAATACTTTTGCAGGCTCCTGCAAATCAATGTACATTTATGATGTTTTATTATTTAAAACCAAAAGCCAGTACAGGGTTAAGGCAGCTTAATGAATTGAAGGAAGTAAAGCGGTTGATTGTCCCCAGGCCAATGTCTGGGAGCTTATTTAGTATAAGCTCTTACCCCTCCTCAGAAGTTTTTGAGAGAAGGAAATTCCCAAAAATATTCAGGAATGCACCGTTGTCTTCCTTGCACTGCCAACAAGCTGCATTGATTATTCTTGTAACAGTGGACTTGGCCTTTAAAGGCTGCAATCTAAAGCTTTTATTTTAACCTCTCATCTAGCGTAGTATGCTTATGAACGATGAAGTGGTGGAAATAACCTTTGAATATGGCCAGTGCGCCTCTTAATTGTTGTCATCCACATCATTAAGATGGCTTACATCACAGACAAAGTCACTCTGTGCCTTACGATCACTGCAATAACCAGTCATAGCAATCACAGCTTTCCTCTTCCTTGCACAATGGAGGCTCATTAATTAGTTCCATGGAAACACCTGCAGGTTCAGAGTTGAGGTTGGAATTTTGGCCCTTTTTTTTTTCTATTAAAATTGGGTGATTACTTGTGAGCCACTAGGAGTTTTCTTACTAAATGTGAACTCTATAATCAATTAATTACGTACATAAAAAAATATATAAAAAAAATATATATAAATTACTATAAATGCTAAAATAATACTGATTAGTTAATTACGTGCTTAAATTAATATTTATGAAATATTAGATCGCCAGGTACTTGTTACACCCTCTCTAGGTGTGTGAATGTTAACCATGAATGCCAATATTGTACCGCGCTCCAATATATACAACCTTATGTGATATTGTGAATTCCTAAGTGTACCACCATTAATCAAATAATTACATCAATCAATTATACTTAAATATATGATTAGTGTGAATATATAAATTAATTATTTTATAAATGTGAAAAAATAAATAAAATATATATTTTTTACTTATATATTTTTTACTTATATATTTTTTACTTATATATTTTTTATACACAAGTAAAAAATATATTTGAAGTGGGAATGACAGTTCTCTTCTGTGTAAATGAGATGGTATTGTTGTTCAGTCTAGTTAGTGTGATGAGTCTGTGTCCACTGCGTGAACCTCTCTCTCCTCTCTCCTCTCCTCTCTCCTCAGCACAGCCTTCTCAGTAGGACTTTCTCCGCTGGCTGCTTGGCTTATTCCTCCATATATGGAACATACAGAGAAGGGAAAAGAAACATAGTGTCTTATCCGGGATATCAATTGTTTATTATACTTTGATTTCCCACTCACATTGTGAAAATTTAAGTAGCGCTTTACATGAAATGTATCCAGATCGTACTACAAACAGCCTTGCAGGTGTGTTTGCCTTCAATGAGTATACTCGCCGTTCCTCTGTGGATGCGTGATGACGTCACCGCCCCTCCCCTACGCGTTACGCTACAGGGACTCGTAGCTTCCTCTGGGGGATGTAGTGAAAAACTACATCCCCCATAGGAAGCTACGAGTCCCTGTAGCGTAACGGTAGGGGAGGGGCGGTGACATCATCACGCATCCACAGAGGAACGGCGAGTATACTCATTGAAGGCAAACACACCTGCAAGGCTGTTTGTAGTACGATCTGGATACATTTCATGTAAAGCGCTACTTAAATTTTCACAATGTGAGTGGGAAATCAAAATATAATAAACAATTGATATACCGGATAAGACACTATGTTTCTTTTCCCTTCTCTGTATGTTCCATATATGGAGGAATAAGCCAAGCAGCCAGCGGAGAAAATCCTACTGAGAAGGCTGTGCTGAGGAGAGAGGAGAGAGAGGTTCACGCAGTGGACACAGACTCATCACACTAACTAGACTGAACAACAATACCATCTCATTTACACAGAAGAGAACTGTCATTCCCACTTTTTTTTTCCTAACTTTCCCCTTCTCTCCTGTACTACGGATCTCCATACAATTTCTACAACCTGTATATTAACCCTTCACCACCCTTATCCTACATACAGGTGAAACTTGAAAAAATTAGAATATCGTACAAACGTTCATTTACTTAAGTAATGCAAATTAAAAGGTGAAACTAATATGAGATAGACTCATTACATGCAAAGCAAGATAGTTCAAGCCGTGATTTGTCATCATTGTGATGCTTATGGCTTACAGCTCATGAAACCCCAAATCCACAATCTCAGAAAATTAGAATATTGTGAAAAGGTGCAATATTCTCGGCTCAAAGTGTCCCACTCTAATCAGCTAATTAAGCCATAACACCTGCAAAGGGTTCCCGAGCCTTTAAATGGTCTCTCCGTCTGCTTCAATAGGAATCACAATCATGGGAACGACTGCTGACCCGACAGTTGTGCAGAAAACCATCATTGACACCCTCCATAAGGAGGGAAAGCCTCAAAAGATAATTGCAAAAGAAGTTAGATGTTCCCGAAGTTCTGTATCAAAGCACATTAATAGAAAGTTATGTGGAAGGGAAAAGTGTGGAAGAAAAAGGTGCACAAGCAGCAAGGATGACCACAGCCTGGAGAGGATTGTCAGGAAAAGGCCATTTAAAAGTGTTTGGGACTTTCACAAGGAGTGGACTGAGGCTGGAGTCAGTGCATCAAGCGCCACCACACACAGACGGATCCTGGACATGGGCTTCAAATGTCATATTCCTCTTGTCAAGCCGCTCCTGAACAACAAACAACGTCAGAAGCGTCTTACCTGGGCTAAAGAAAAACAGACCTGGTCTGCTGCTCAGTGGTCCAAAGTCCTCTTTTCTGATGAGAGCAACTTTTGCATCTCATTTGGAAACCAAGGACCCAGAGTATGGAGGAAGAATGGAGAGGCACACACTGCAAGACGCTTGAAGTCCAGTGTGAAGTTTTCACAGTCTGTGTTGATTTGGGGAGCCATGTCATCTGCTGGTGTTGGTCCACTGTGCTTCATTAAGTCCAGGGTCAACGCAGCCGTCTACCAGGAGATTTTGGAGCACTTCATGCTTCCTTCCGCAGACAAGCTTTATGGGGATGCTGACTTCATTTTCCAGCAGGACTTGGCACCTGCCCACACTGCCAAAAGCACCAAAACCTGGTTCAATGACCGTGGGATTACTGTGCTTGATTGGCCAGCAAACTCGCCTGAACTGAACCCCATAGAGAATCTATGGGGCATTGCCAAGAGAAAGATGAGAGACATGAGACCGAACAATGCAGAAGAGCTGAAGCCGCTATTGAAGCATCCTGGTCTTCCATAACACCTCAGCAGTGCCACAGGCTGATAGCTTCCATGCCACATGCATTGAGACAGTAATTGCTGCAAAAGGGGCCCAAACCAAGTACTGAGTACATATGCATGCTTATACTTTTCAGAGGTCCGATATTGTTCTATGTACAATCCTTGTTTTATTGATTGCATGTAATATTCTAATTTTCTGAGATTGTGGATTTGGAGTTTTCATGAGCGGTAAGCCATAATCATCACAATTATGACAAATCACGGCTTGAACTATCTTGCTTTGCATGTAATGAGTCTATCTCATTTATTAGTTTCACCTTTTAAGTTGCATTACTGAAATAAATAAACTTTTGCACGATATTCTAATTTTTTCGAGTTTCACCTGTATTAATTGTCTCTATCCTCCCACTGTATGTTATCTGTACATTAACCCCTTTACCTCCTCACTCTGTGTATGAAATGTATATACAGTATTTAGTGCACTATTACCCATCTCCATGTTCTAGCCACCTTATTACCAGCATGTTTTTACTATTAAAAAATGAGATTACCCTGGGTGTCTACTTTCCAAAAAGGGGTCATTTTAAGGGTGATTGTACTGTGCGCGGTGTGCATTCCTGTGCAATTCAAAATGCATGCTAAATGCATTTTCTTTACAAGCTACAGTAGATGTCAATAAAAAGCTAACAACACTTCAAACGTAGGTCATTATTGCAGTCCATTTTCCTGCACCTGATCGCGTGGTACGTTTGTACTATGCAATCTGGTTGCTGCACATTTTAAAAAGTAGTGTATGCACTACTTTTGGTGCGGTGTGATTTTTTTTTAGCCTATTCAAAATGAATGAGTAGAAATCGCACCACATGCAAATTGCTCAGGAACGGACAGCGTGTTCCTGTGAGATTCATATGTGAACTAGCCCTAAGATATTTGCTATCGCAAAAGGTATCTCATTGGGAAATTTCCCATCTGTTCCTGTTATGGTGGCAGCCTAAAATGTGTGATTTTACCTCACTTTCTGAAAATAATCACCAGAGGAATGACGACAATCTTTACACTGGAAAACAAACTTTCTGAAACCCGCAATACGAAAACTTTTTTTTTATTTTAATACACTTTCATTCTGCCCCGCCCCTTGTCCCCTTCTTGCCTAGGTGAATATGGCTTGCCGTATTTTTGGTGCCTCCTTAGTTTGCTTTCATTTCCATTTAGCAGATGGAGGGAAGTCTTCTGACACTGAAAATATCAACCAATTCCTAATGACGTCTTGGAAGAAAATGGTGATGTAGGAGGAGCTACTGCAAGCGGAATAGTGGCTTGCAGTACAACAACACTAACCGTAATCAATGTGTTCTGCCGGCAGAACACAATAGCTCTGTGGGGGGGTCCCCCCATCAGCACTGATTGTGTTGATGGGGGAATTGAGTGATTTTTCTTTCTTGCATCCCGTGGTTTCAGGAAAGAAAAAAACGCATCATCCATGACTTGCTTAACTTGCAAGCTGACCTGGTTACATTAATTGATTAGGAGGCTACATGAAAAATATTTTATGTTGAGAAATGTAAAGTTATGCATCTGGGGGCTAAAACATGCATGCATCATACACAAAATAGGGAAGGGTAATCTGTGTGAACTGTTGATAGAGAATGGGCTGGGTGTGAAGTCGATCGTAGACTTCATAACCATTTACAATGCTGTTCTGCAGCAAGCAATATACTTGTTTGATAATATTAAAAAGGTATAGGCTCAAATGAGAGGGATATCATTTTGCCAATGTACAGTAAATAATATCCTCTTTAATGTAAAGGACAGTGCATTGATTTTAAATGACCTACAGTCTTCTGCATTTCTAAAATCTAAAACTAATTCTTGTTCCTCCTCCTCTCTTCTTCAGTGTGCAGTAAGGGGTACATATGCAGATAATTAGTTTTTTTATTAAAGTGGTATTAAACCCAAAATCAAAATTTCAATAAATTGCAATTTACTAATCTTTTAATGTGGTGGCTGTATTTTGTTTTCTTGTTTAGGCTTTTTTCCTTTATTTTCACCTGTGATCCTGTCTTAGGGTGTCTTCACTCTGGATAGAGAAGCTGTTGAGACACCCTTGGACATTAACATTGTCAATCTGGGGAGAGGATAGTGTTAGATGCGCTAGCTGTTTTGGATGACCTTGGCTAACAAATTCAAGCATTTGCAGAAATCGTTTTTTTTTTTTTTTTTTTTCCTTTTGGGATAAAGGTTTTTACATAAATGCAGGCTGATCACTCTAAGCACCCCTGTCAGTGTTAAATAGTTTGCCTCAACCCTCTAATTACCACTTTACCTGGACAGCTTGACAGTTAAAATAGAAAAAAAAAATAACAGCCTGCCTGGATCATAAGTTGAAAATAAAGAAATAAAAGCCTAATTAGCCAACACATCTAAGAATTAGTAAGCTGCAATATACATTCACCAGCGACTATATTAGGTACACCTTGCTAGTACCGGTTTGGACCCCTTTTGCCTTCAGAAGTGCCTTAATTCTTCGTGGCATAGATTCAGCAAGGTGTTGGAAACATTCCTCAGAGATTTTGGTCCATATTGACATGAGTTACTGTTGCCTTTCTATCATCTTGAACCAGTCTGCTCATTCTCCTCTGACCTGTGACATCAACAAGGCATTTTGTCCACACTTCCCTGCTCACTGGATATTTTCTCTTTTTCAGACTATTCTCTGTAAACCGTAGAGATGGCTGTGTGTGAAAATCCCAGTAGATCAGTCGTTTTTGAAATACTCGGACAAGCCCATCTGGCACCAACAACCATGCCATGTTCAAAGTCTCTTAAATCCCCTTTCTTCCCTATTCTGATGCTCAGTTTGAACTTCAGCAAGTTGTCTTCACCATGACTAAATTTGAGTTGCTGCCATGTGATTGGCTGATTAGCATTTGTGTTACTAAGCAATTGAACAGGTGTACCTAATAAAGTGGCAGTGAGTTTATATTACACTTTTGTTAGGTTTAATACCATTTCAGCTGTAAGATGTTTTATCAGGTTTATATTGTTGGCTAATTGACCCACACTTCCTGTCCCAGTGACTCTTGGAATTGCTGTGTGTTGCACTGCTCCTTCCCCTCTCTGGACTGCATTCTCCATATATGCTTCTGACACGCTAAAGATGCATGCAGAAAACTCTGTTCGAAGGTCCCCCCGAATCTTTCTGAAACTGAAATAAAAAGAAAAAAAAGGGTTGCCTCAAGTTCTAGTTTTTTTTTCGCCATGCTTTAACTTCACGCCAGCAGCTAGACCAGCTGCTGGCATGCCTTCGGGCTAATGCAGGTACCTGTAACGGCTCATCAATGTTCTTGCTACTATTATGATAACAGGGCTAATAATGGGGGCCATGGTATAAGGTACTGTTATGCTGTTGATCACTGTCAGTCCAACAAATAAAATAGCGTTTACAAGATATTGACACAGAGATGAAGAATGCATGAACACGTTAAAGCAGATTTGAAAACAAATTGAAACTTGTATTCACAAAGACCAAGGTTTATAAGTTAATAGTAAATATGATTTTGTCTTTTCAGGTACCTCCAAATGACATAGATAAAACCCGAAATTCATATACACTGCAGGATCTGCAACCGTATACAAAGTATATCCTTTCCCTACGCTGTAAGCAACAGAACAATAAAGGATACTGGAGTGATTGGAGTAAGGAGTATGAAGCCATGACCCCAGAATCTGGTAAGCTAAAATTAGTTTTTAAGTCTGCATTGTGTAGGGTTTTTGCTTGTAAGTGTATCTTTTTTTATACTACTTTTTTTTTTTTTTTTTTTTTTTTTTTTTTTTACCTCTAAATTAATTTGCTTTGTGATAAGATACAGCAATACATACATGTAAATAAGAAAAATATTTTGATCATTTTCTTTCACAAACCGTAAATCGGTGCAGCTGGTGTGACATGCAGCTTTGGTACAGTTCATGAAAAAAATGGAACTCCTTGCTCTTTACAGCTTAAAAAAGAACCCTCAGGATAAATGTTTTCAGTTTGATCATTCAAAAAGAAATTAAATCTCTTGGTCTGTGTGAAAAGAATGGTTGAAACAGACTAAAGTTTATGTTTACATGTGTTTGTCTACTTTGGGTATTTTAATTTAGAATGGCCTTATAGAATGTTGCAGGAAAGTGTGTACAGAAAATAACTCGTAAGGATATCTAAACCCAAGAATATAAATGTAATACATTGAGGCTTACCTCCTCTCCTTAGATGTGATGGCTGCATTTGTATAAGCAAAGTACATGTAGTACCAGTTGTATTTTGTACCTTAAGGAGGTTCTAATTGGTTTATTCTGCATTATGGGAAAACATGACAGTACTATTTAGCCTGAAGTATATGTAAGCCCTATTTTTTGATTTTTTGCTATCTTTTTGTTTGGTGAATAAGCAACTGAGCAGTGCAGAGCAATATTGGTCAGTCCTGTCAGAAAACGTGAGCTTATAACTTCTAAAAATGAGCTGATCAGCATCTCTGTTGCACTTACATCTCAAGCAACGTTATCAGCCCTGCCTTGTTTTTTCTTTTGTGAACTCAAGAAGACCTGTATTGCTGAGAAGGGGAGGTATTCTTTAGTACAAATTGGTGAGAAGCTGAAGGTGATAGTGTTGCTCCTCCTCAGATGTTATAATACAATGAGTACGAGTTTTCACCCTAGGATAGTAAGTGTTACTGGTTGGGTCACCTGGTGACAATAGGGGAAAAAAGCCCAGCTTGATAATGGCTCTGGTAGATTGGCAAAACTGGGTATTCTGGTTGCTCTATCTCATCACTGAAGCCCATAAGGTAACAGCATAGGGATAATTTCTTAGCAAGCAGGCAAAAATTACTAGGTGTAAGGGGTGGCCTTTTAATAACCATAGAGCAATAAACGTTCTAACTTTTCTCCTTTTGAATCCTTCAGCACCCTCCCGAGCCCCAGAATTTTGGAGGAAGACTGGTGATCCAGATAGTAATGGAAACCGGACTGTTTGGTTAATGTGGAAGGTAAAAAAACCTTGCTTGGCTGTGAGACGAGAACAGAAAAAGTGTCGACTGACAGTTTTCGCTGTATAATATCCAATAACTGGATAAAATATAGCTTACAACCATGAATAATCCTTAGGATTCTGCATAGAAATATGCCAGCATGCTGAAAATTCTCTGCTTTTATAAACACGTTTTATTATCATCTTGTAAATTGCTTTTCATTAAAAAAAATCTTATACAAAGTAGACTGCTGCTATATACATCATTCACAGTGTGCTATTTCAGTGTAAATAGATTATCTGCCATAGATATGCATTTTTTTGCCATGGAATGCTTCAGTACATGTGTAGAAGTAATCAAATATTTAGAGATGGCTTGCCAAGTTAGAAAGCAACTGAGAGAATTTCCAGGTATGTAGTCAGTATATTACTGCAGAGATGCAAATGGGAGTGGGATGCTTTTTCTCCCAGTATATGGGCCTAAATATCTGTTTCTCTGAGCATCAAAAACCAGGGTTCTTACATGGGGGGGGTGTACATACATACATACATACATACATACATACATACATACATACATAAAATAGAACATGCAGCGCTATAAAATTCTAAAATTGAAACAAGCGATCATGTGCAAGAGCACGAAACGCGTTAGGGAGGTGCTCTAAATCCTGTGACGTCACACCGCACGGCCCTCATGGACGGCCGGCGGCCATTTTTTGATTTCTCCATTGCCAGCCTTTTAACTACTGCATGTGAGTAGTGTATTTATACTTGTATAACATATCCCTGTGGCTTTCATTAAAGTACTACACTATCAGATTCTTCTATGTTCTGGCTCGTTACTCCCGAGCCCCTCCCCCCCTTCAAGGCATATAAAGATGAGCTGGTGGCCACTGCATGTATGGTGAAACAAGCTCCCCCTGCTGGTGAGAGGATTACTTTTCCCCTGGTACCTGGAGACCCTGAGGGTGTGATACTTGCTTAGCTGACGCAGGCCAGATGATCCTCGCTGAGGTCCAGTTCCCATAGGCGGATGACCAGGAGATGGTTAATACTCAAACGCGCATTATAATTGCGCTTTCCAGTTCGTGCAATCTACATTCATCTCCGTATGATGAACACGATCACAAGTCACTAATTTTCTCACCATCCTGTCTTGAGAGTTTTCACTGTGCACTGCAGAACACTTATGTTGGATATATTCATTCATCATTATAGAGCATATCTCTGGACGCTAATTATATTTCATTATTCTTCTTATAATTATAATCAAGCAGTGATTAGATTGTTATTGTTTTGACTATTGCATTTTATGATCGCTTGTTTCAATTTTAGAATTTTATTAGCGCTGCATATTCTATTTTATACATTTATTATGGAGGCTCCTGGTGTTCGCCTTTCATGCTAGTCGCTCTTTGGTGGTTATCCAGCGCTCGTATTTTTTCTGTTTTTATACATACATACATGGTTAGCTCCATATATATTTGGACACAGGCACAATTTTCATGCTTTTGGTGACTTTCAGCTTTTTAATTCAAGGGGATAAATATCAAGTACAATTGTTAGAAACTGCAACCATTTTTATACACAGTCCCTCCATTTTCAGAGGCTCAAATGTAATTAGACAAATAAAATCATAAATAAAATGTTCATTTTTAATGTTTTGTTGAGAATACTTTACTGGCAAAGACCTCCTGAAGTCTGGAACCCACGGACATTTTCAAAGACTGGGTTTCCTCCTTTCTGATGCTTTGCCAGGCTCTAACTGCAGCGGTCTTCAGTTGTTGTTTGTTTGTGGGTCTTTCTGCCTTTGGTTTTGCCTTCAACAAGTGAAATGCATGATCAATTGGGTTGAGATCAGGTGATTGATTCAGCCATTGCAGAATATTCCACTTCTTTTCCTTCATATGCTCCTGGGTTGCTTTTGTAGTGTGTTTTGGATCATTGTCCATCTGTACTGTGAAGTGGCGGCGTGCTTTACACCACGGCATCCGACGCTTTGCATTGCACTTGGTGATGTAAGGCTTGGATGCAGCTGCTCGGCCATGGAAACCCATTCTATGAAGCTTTTCTACGCACTGTTGTGCTAATCTTAAGGGCACACCAAGACTCTGCAGACAGTTGGTGACTTCTGCGCACTGTGCGCTTCAGCATGCGCTGACCCCGCTCTGTCATTTTTCGTGCCAGAGTTGCTGTTGTTCCCAGTTGCTTCCACTTTGTTATAATACCACTAACAGTTGACTGTGGAATATTTAGTAGCAAGGAAATTTCATAGATGGACTTATTGCACAGGTGGCAACTTATGGCAGTACCACGCTTTTATGCATAATACATTCTTTCAGAATTATTTGTAGAAGCAGTCTGCATGCCTAGGGGCTTGATTTTATACACCTGTGGCCATGGAGGTGATTGGAACACCTGACTCCAATAATTTGGAGGGGTGACCCAGTACTTTTGGCAATATAGTGTACATCTCCCACACTATAAAGCCAAGTTGAAGATACCCTCTATTGAGCCGGCTTGGCATTGCAGTTTTCAGTGCTATCTCTTTTACTGGAAGGCATATTACTAGGAACGAAGGTCGACTTCACCACCTTTGTCCAACAAGCAGAGGGGGGACTGGGCAAGCTGTAAATTTAAACTATAAACTAGTGCAGTGATAGGCTGCCCTTCACAGTGAAAGGGTATATGAACCGTTTTAGATTTATTGTAAAGCATGGCAGAATACACTGGTGTTATATACATTCAGTAAATTTTTAACCGATTGTGCTGACTTTAAGTGCACAACATTTTTCAGAGAACACTGAACTATTTTTTTTTTCAATTTAGCCTATGAAGGAGCTATCTCTCTTATCTATTAGTATATCTTTGGATGGAAGGGGGGAAACAGCATCACCCAGTTACAGAGAAAACTCTCTTTATGTGTCTGTGGTGCCATGTCCTATGCACAAAATTCAATTTTGGTATGTAGTCATTGAATGCCCTTTAACCACTTGCCACCAGGCCTATAGTCAAATGAGAGCCGGGTGAACCCCTCGTCCCTCCGGGAGGGCGTCATATGACATCCTTCCCGGATCGCGCCCTACACGTGCCCGCAGGGCCGTGCTGTGGGGAGATCTGTCACCGGCTGTGTACCGGCCCCATTGCCAGTACCATGTGACCTGCTGTCATCAATCACAGCAGGTCACATGACAGTTGTATACAATGGATGGCATGAAAGGAAGCCATCCATTGTATACAAGTGTGTTTAGCTGTGATTGGTCACAGTGATCACATGCACAGGCTGGGCCAGTTACAGCTAATCACAACAAAAAAACCTGAATGAATCAATTTCATTCAATTAAATGCTTGCTTATACAAAAGCAATTCTTTGCTATAAGCAATCAAATTGTGTAAAAAAAACAAAAAACTTATGATTTCCTCAAAGTAGTACAAGGTTACTATGGTAACATTATACTACTTTGGTCATAGTGTAATCTGAAAAACAAATCTTAAAAAAAATAATTACAAAATTGAAAAAAAATTATACTTTTTTTTTTGTACGGTCACCAGTCAGTGTCCCTAATCACTGCCTCACCAGTTATATGCTGACTCTGTACTGCACTGGTGACAGTATTTAAAAAAAAAAAAATTGTGAAATTTTTTTTTAATTTCTTTACTTTCTGAAAAATTATTACAAAAAAAATTATAACTTCAAAAAACTCGCCATGCCTCCTATGAAATACACCGGACTGTCTACTTTGCAAAAAGGGGTCATTTGGGGGATATCTGTATTGTTCTGACATTTTTGGGCCTCAAGAAATTAGATTGGCTGTCAGTACTTCAGGATTGATCAATATTCAGATCTATACCATAGTTTGTGAACTCTATAACTTTCCTACAGGCTAAATAATAAACACTGATTTTGGTTATTTTCACCAAAGAAATGTAGTAGAATACATCTTGGCCTAAATTTATGAAGAACAATTATTTATTTGCAAACTTTTATAACCGAAACAAAGAAACATGTTTTTGTTTTTTTAATTTTCGGTCTTTTTTTGTTAATTTAGCAAAAAATAAAAACCCCAGTGGTGATGAAATACCACCAAAAAAAAAGCTCTCGCCGTGTGAACAAAATGATAAAATTTTAGTTTGGGTACAGTGTTGTATGACCGCGCAATTGTCATTCCAAGTGTGAGAGTCCTGGAAATTGGCCTGGGCAGGAAGGGGGTAAAATTGTCCTGTATTGAAGTGGTTAGATTCCCTGTCACTAGACTGAAAAAAATAAATGCAGGTAAATTCACTGAAAAATCAAGAATGTAAATTCAGTGTTTCCTTTACCTAAATTATTTAATCATTTGCAGTGTGCCTTTTGAACTTGCTAGAAATATGACTACTCCAGGAAGAATGAATTCCCTAGCAAAACGCCCCTAGCATACCATAGCCTTCTCTCTTGGGAGTGTGTGATTTATGTTCTGTGCTGGCCTAGCTACTTCGCCCACCATAACCCCTTAACACCATAACCAGTTGTAGCTGCCAGAGGGTGGAGTAAAGAGGAATACTTGGTGTCACTTGGGTCACACTTCTGATTCTGCTGCTGGGGCTGCTGACATCACATCCAAGAGGTATGCTTTTGCTTGTAAACATTTTTACAAATGTTAAATGCACATATAATCTTATGCATAGATTTTTATCAAAATGCAGGGCAGTCATTTTATGGCATTCACTAGTCAGTGTGTTTTTGCTCGTTTTGATTATAGATCTATAAATATGTATTCTGGGATTAATATTCATGGCTATGCAAGTCCTTCCAATTTCACTAATAATAACTTTGCATTTGTTTTTCTTTATACCAGGATTTGGGGTCTTATGCTAATGGAGAAATATTGGGATACAATATAACCATTGGAACGTCTAAAAACGTCCTTTATTCGTATGCTTTGCCAAAACATGATCGGCAATATAATGTCACCGTCCCAAAGGATGCTCTTCAAGTTTCAATCAGTGCCAATAACAGCTATGGTGCATCTCCTTCATCTTTTCTGGTTATTCCAGATGCCAGAAACAGAGGTATGGATTTACTACCACCTTATCATAAAAATGTCAGCAATAATTAAATTACTGCATGATAACTAACTGTAATGGAGGTTCCCTATTACTTGTGACCTGTGGTCTCACATTGGTCCTTTGAAGAATATGCTGTCTGGGTGGTTGAACTTTAATCTGCTGAGTCCCCCAGTGCACTTTCCATATTAAAGGGTATTTAAATCCAAAATAACACACTTGCTTTCCCTTTTCAAGCAGTTCTTGCCTGCAGGTTTGTACCGGTATGCCCCAAACGCAGAAAGTTTAATTTGGCTCTGTATGCGAGTACCACTTAGATGTGTGTATAGCTGATGCTGACAGTGGGCTGTACACACAATCTGTATTTTAGGCTCCAAAATGCACTCTTTTTTTTATGTTGTGCGACAAATGTGCATGAGGCATATCTTACGCATGTGTATATATAAACTGTTCAGCCATAACATTCTGACCATCCACCATAACCTGTCGAGGCATGGACTCCACTAGATCGCTGAAGGTATGCCCTGACACCAAGCCGTCAGTATCAAATCGTTTAAATCCTGTAAACTGCTTTGTGGGGCCTCCATGGATCAGACTTCTTTATCCAGCACATCCAACAGGTTCTTGATTGAATTGAGATTTGGAGGCTAGATCAATACCTCAAACCATTCTTAAATTCATCAAACCAAGCCACCTTCTCCCATCACTCTGTGGTCCAGTAATGATGCTCAAATGCCTGTTGTTGGTGCTTTTGGCTGTGAACATGGGTCAGCATGTCCTTGTAAGTATGATTCCTGCATCCATAGTTAGACTTCATTTAGAATATTGTGTCCAGTTCTGGAGACCTCACTTACAAAAAGTTATCGATAAGATAAAATGAGTATCCAGATCGAGTAACAAAAATGGTGAAAGGTCTGGGGGATAAAACACATCAAGAGCGACTTCAGGAACTTAACATGTACAGTCTGGAGGAAAGAAGGGAAAGGGGAGACATGATTTGAAACCTATAACCACTTACCCTCCCTTCCTGACCGCTTCATTACTTTAACTGACAATTGCGCTGTCATGCATTGCTGTATATAAATGAAATTTATATAGTTTTTTTCCCTACAAATAGAGCTTTCTCTTTGTGGTATTTGATCACCTCTACATGCTTATTTTTGCATTTTATAACTGAAAAAACACCAACATTTTTTTAGAATAAAACTATATTTTTACTTTCTGCTATAAAACCTATCCAATAAAAAAATTAAAAATCAAATTTCTTCATAAATTTAGGCCAAAATGTATTCTGCTACATATTTTTGTTAAAAAAGAAAAAAAATCCAATAAGCATATATTGATTGGTTTACACAAAAGTTATAGCATCTACAATTGGTGGTGTATATATACTGGATTTTTTTTTTTTAATACTAGTAATGGTGGTGATCAGTGACTTATAGTGAGACTGCGATATTGCGGTGAACATTTTACACTGACACTTTTTGGTAACAAGCGACACTAAGTCACTGGTCACACCTCTGCAATTTAAAATGGCACGATTTCAGGTGCGATTTCTGAAGACTTTATTGCTACTTGCAGATTTTCAACTGTTCTATGTATGTGAAATAGTAATACAAGAACTACTTTATAAATCGCGCTGCAGTAAATCGCACATGTTGACACACATTCACATTCATTAGATGCATTAAATTGCACCAGGCACCAATACAGTCAATATACACTGTCGTATTATTGACATTGGCTGGGAAGGGATTAAACATCTAGGGCGATCAAAAGCTTTATTGTGTTCCTAGCCAGTCTTTTTGTGTGCACTGCCTACTGTTTTTACTAGGCAATTTGCTAGATTTTACTTTTTTGAATAAGCCCGGGTTCACACTGATGTGGTGCGAACGTCGCACTGGTTTCTGTGTGATTTCCACACCGCATCATAATCGCACCGCATTCATATGAACCACTGCGGTTGTTTATTTTAAGTTAATGACACCCTGAAATCCGTTCGAAGTGCAGAATCGGATTGCATGGGTATGAACACCCATGCGATCAGTTTCTGGTGTGGACACAAAAAGGGTCCTGCTCCTTCTTTTTTTTTTTTTTTTTTTTTTTTTTTTTTTGTGCGGATACTGCTCAAATTGCACCGCAAAGAAATCGCATGTGATTTGCAAAGAAGTGCGGTTCCTATGTGAATCACATGCGTTGTGCCGCACAGCATCAGTGTGAACCTGGGCTAAAACGTAGCAGATCGCTGTTGACATAACCCAGCTCTGCTTTGTTTACACAATCAGAGCTGTGTTATGTCAGTGTCCTCATCTATTGGCTGGCACCTGTGGATTGACTTCTGCTTTATCCAATCACAGCAGAAGCGGTGCTTTGGCAGCAGGTGGACGCCCCTCCTGTGGCGGAAATGCAAAATGAATATATGTGATTTTAGCATAGAACATCCCCCCCCCCCATAGCAGTAAATCTGCTATAGGGCGGAGGTCTAGTGGATACATCAACGGGGTGAATAAAGTTCAGGAGGGCAGTACTTTAGACATAAAAAACAAAATCAAGAACACTGAGACATGACTTTAAACTAACTGGGGGAAAGTTCAAAACTAATCTCAGTAAGTACTATTTTACTGAAAGAGTAGTTGATGCTTGGAATAAACTTTCAGCAGAGGTAGTGAGCCAGTAAATAGCTTCAAATATGTTTGGGACAAGCATAGATCTATACAACACAAAAATAACCCCCCCCCCCCAAAATTCAATGGAGTACTCAGCCTTTTTCTGCTGTCACTTTTCTATTTTGTTTCCTTGTGCAATAGGTTTACTACTCCTTTTAAAATGAATAATCACTTGTGAAATATAACTATATTCTAGTTCTATATAAACTGTTGGATTTGTACTGCATGATCTTCTTATTTGTTATATTTTTCCTATTCTTTCAAATAAAGTGACGCTCTCTTCTGAAATTGACGTAAAGGCCTTCCCCAAAGACGGAAAGCTTTGGGTGGAGTGGACCGCACCGACTAAAAGTGTTCTAGGTTATGTCATAGAATGGTGTGCAAACCCAGATTCTCAGGATTGTGATATGGAATGGCAGCGAGAGCCAAGCACTGTCAATGGGACATTCTTGAGAGGTAAGTCTATTTTGAATAAAGCTTTCCTTTCTAAAGAAGTCCAAAGATTTTTTTTTTTCCCCCCCCCCCCCCCCTTTTCATACCTGAAGAGAGCTTGCCCCAAGATTGTGCCTTTAAATTGTGACAGCATCCTTCCATATATAGTTAAAGGGTAGGTTCACCTTTGTGGGAAAAAAAAAAATGCACATCTTTTTGTAGGTGAAAAAAAAGTTAATTTATTATTATTTTTTTCTTTTACTAGGAGCCCACAAAGCATTGTACCCATGATCAGCAGATCATGGGTGCAATGCAGTGCTTTTGCAGACTGTAAGCATCAATTAACTACCTAGAGCGCTCCTCAGTGCCCTGATAGTTCATTGAGAACTACAAGCTGACCGGCTCAAAAGCTGACAGTACTTGTAGTTCTCCCATTCACAGTACTCTGTGAATGAATGACGTGGCCGTGTGTGGGGAGAGGATCCCCGGCTCATTGTCACAACGGGAATTGGGGGGGTTAACATGTTACACCCTGAATATGGGCGTAGCATGTTACAAGAGGTGACCTAATCTTTTAACTTAATATTTTCTGCCCTTGTTTTTTTTCTAGTTTTATGTGCATCTGTAGTATATAACTCAAAAACAAATATCTGCCCTAACTATAATGCAGTTGTTCTGACTAGGTATTTGGAGCTTTGAAGCCCACTTTGTGATCTGTTTTTCCTCCTCTGCACTTTGGAGTACTATTTCCAGTGTAAAACCAGACCAAGTTAATGCAGAAAATTCTGCGTATGTAAAATGACCAGGAAAAACCTTCAGAGATTTAACGTACTCTGGCTACAACATTACAAGGCAAAGCTTAATGACTCTGGCTGCTTTAATACACAGACATATTGACCCACCACTATAATGTTTAGCCTTCATGTTAAGTGGTTGAGTGTGGCCTTGGATAGTCAAAGGGAAAAGGGGGAATGTCCCAGAAATGGACACAGAGGTTCTAACCCTTCCTTACTTTGAAGGGTTTACTAAGAATTGTATGAACCATAAGCAGTTTGCCCTCTTAGATTCTCCATATATAGATCACATTTGTGCAGATGTCCTAGATTATAGTTGCCCAATAAATCATGCATAAAGATTTATAAACTACTTCTGTTAGTTTTGCATTAGTTTTGTAGCGAGAGACACTAGCCACTTGTATTACTCAGCCAGTGACAGACATGGTACCCTCCCTATTCAATAACGCGCGCAAGTACAAACATTTTATTCTGTGTATAGATAGATAAATACAGGGGAAAAGGGTATCCTTTGAGTTGTCCTGAACTCTTTCCTGGTCAAAAAATACACAATTTGGTGTCCGATGGCAAGTACCCCCCCCCCCCCCCCCCCCCTCGTTTCTGTCCTAAAATAGTCACTAAGAGGAAGCATAGTAGGAATGCTTGCCTTAGCACCAGTCAAGCAGGAGGTAAGTGATGGTTTCCGCTTTTGTACTACAGAGCAGTAGAAATGTTGGGGCATCATGTGCAATGTATCCTGCTTCTCACCTGCCCAAGTAGTAGTGAGCAGTGCCCAGGTCTATAAGGCAATGAGTGGGAGTCCCAGAACTTTCCCTGTCCATATCCCATGTAAATGGTCCCCTAAATCCCAGAGTGCCCAGGTGTCCTGTATGGGTAGGCCTTAAATGGGCAGAAGGGTCTGAAAGGAGAACTTTGCTCCATGGATCTGAGTTGAGGTGTGAATTGAATGCACATACATAGTGTACATACACACATCAGAATGGTGGGAGTTTCCAAGTTGGCAGTGTATTGAAGTACTTGTGGATTCCCGCATTTGCAGATTCTTGTTTACCATAATATCGAATATTTTACTTTGTTATTACTAAATTTCATTTATTTTTTCATTGTATTTTTACAAGTCATTTGGTTTTGCATTTAATTAAACTTTTGCTTTTGTCCTTATAGGTGACCTGAAGCCGCTTGTATATTATATGATCAAAGTTTATCCACTATATAAAAGTGGCTCTGAAAGACCAAGATATGTGGCAGCCTATCTCCAGCAAGGAAGTATGTAATGGTTTAGATGTGAATAATGTAAAAGTACTCCGTATATCTCTCGCATGGAACTACTAAATCCCAATTATGAGCTTTGTGGCTTACCCATTAGGGCCAATTCACACCAGTGCATTGATCTGTGTTTTAGCACAGCTGTAAAACGCAGATCAACGGAAGGACACCTGAAAAACCATTTCCAATGTGTCCTGTTCACACCATAATGCTGCATTGACTTGCATTGCGCTAAAATGCGACAGGTATGCATTTTAGTGCAGCGCAATGAATGTGAACACAATGCACAGGATATCCTGTGAAAATGCAGTACGCTTTAATGCACGTTAAAATGTATGTCAACGAACATCAAAAGTGTATGTCAACAGACGTCAAAATGTTTGTAACAGATGTCGGTGCGTGACTAAATGGATGGAAATGTACACCCATTTTCTATACATTTTAGCGCAAGTCAGTGTGAATTGGCACTTGCGGTATATATTGCGAAAACACAATGATATGTAATCTGCTTGTAAAATGCAACATAAAAGTGGTTTTCAATATTTGGAATTGTTAGAGCTAACAAAGATGTTCTATAATTAGGATAGAAACCAGCGATTCTGGATACACAGCCACAGGATTGCAAAGAAATAATATGCATGGATGGCCCCTACTCACTGTGCTGTAATGATGAAGCTTTATTTCTGTTCAGTGTGGTTATTCTTTACCATAGCATATGGTCACATGATGTACATAATCAAAAGGGAAAATTTATTTTGAAAAGCATTCACATGGAGAGACGTGATATTTCACGTTTCCCAGATTTGTAACATAATTATATTGAATTCTATGCCTATATATTCTAACACCCCCAGATATTATGTGGGGTTCTTCCCTCTCATAGTTCCTCTTTCCCTTTTTCCACCTTTCTTCCTCAAGTTAAAGGGAGACCATACATGATTCTTTTTTTTTTTTTTTTTTCTTTTTTTTTTTGGTTCAACCAATGGGTTAAAATAAAATAGCTTCTTCCTCCATCCACACATTTTGATGTGGATGGGGACATGCTCCCACTGTGCTATTGTATTCTTTCTGTCTGGCAGAATACAATGATCAGTGGTGAAGTCTATAGCCTGCAGCACTGTTAGTTTAGGAAAAAAACCCAACAGGCTGGTTGTACACAAACCAATCAATAGATTGACTTGTGTACAACCAGCTCCCCCCATACGTGGATTGAAATTTGCCCGGTTTCTGCTGAATCGGGCAAATTTTGATCTATGTATGACCGGCTTCAGTCCTTTCCCTCCTCCACCCCATGTGATTAATGCCTTTTGGTCACCTTTTATCACACCTTGTCTTATAAATTGCTATAAAAACTGTGTGGGAGTGAAAAAGTTGTTTTGAAGAATGCAAGTTGTGACATGAGTAGATAGTTTGTCCTTAAAGCGGAGTTCCAGCTGAAAACATAAATAAAAGTCAGTAGCTACAAAAACTGTAGTTGCTGACTTTTTAAAATACAGACACTTACCTGTCCCTTGGTCCAGCGGTGTCCTCAATACAGCGGGTTTCACCGGCTGTCTTCTCTCCCTGGCGCTGGCATCTTCAGTGTGGGCACCCGGCTGTGACAGCTTGCAGATTCATAGCCGGGTGCCAACTGTGCATGTTTGAGAAGCGCTGCACTTTTTGAATGACTCCATAGTCTTCTGGGACCTATCACATGTCCCAGAAGACTACGGGGAGGGAGGGGGGAGGACAACTTAGCTTCTGAGCGCCTTAGGCGATCGCAGCGGAAGTGGGAGTGGGTACCTGTCAAATTCGGGTACTCACTCCTCAAAGGTGCCAATCCTTAATGGGGAGCGGGGGACAAAGACTTAAAGCAGAACTTCCCCTTTTGGGTGGCGCTCCACTTTAATGTCCCTCCCTACCGCAAGACACAATTCAACCTTATAGACTTACATCATTGGAAATTTTTACACACCTTATGTACAGGGCAGGTGCTAGACTATTTTATTTTGCATCCCGGGCAAGATCAACTACTTGCGCGCACCTTCCCCCCCCCCCCCCCCCCCCCCACAAAAATAAAGATAGAATAAAAAATTTTTTAAACTGTAGAAAATATTAAATCAGCAAAACATGAAACTGCTAAATTTCTTTTAACTTGCAAAAATAAGTGCCATAAGATGCCACCAGCACCAATATTAAAGAAAAAAATCAGTGTCATGGACGGACTGTATCTGTGGCTGGCACTGGCGGGTGGACGGCTGCAGTGAGTGGAAGATGATGGATCCACACTCTGACAGATCCCAGGCTGGAATTCCCCAGGCAATGAGGGGAGATAATACACCGTGACTACAGGCAGCCCAGCTGACACAGACACAGAGAACACCTGCACTGAGCGATCCCACACAGTGACAGATCTGACACAACACCACCAACATTGACACAGATCAGCAGGCACTAGAAGAGCAGACTGTGGGATTGTGATGATGTAACCACTCACTGACACATTGCACATGTGATGGATGGCCGGGTCACATTCACACAGACATGAGACATCAGACATTACCTTCCTCCGCAGGTGCAGCTCCACCTCCGCTGTTGAATGGGAAGAGAAGGGCTGGAACTCCACAGTGATCAGCAGTTGCCAGCCAACTTGCAGTAAGGGACTGAGTCTGAGAGGAACACTGGAAGGAGCTGCCGCTCTTCTGCTACACTTGCCTCAAACCCGGGGCATCTTCCTCTGTCCTTTTTTCCTCCCCTCTGCCGCCCATCCTCTCAGCTGGAGTATCTCATGTCATGGCGGCGTCACTCACAGTGTGCCGGCCTGTGCTGCGCCCAGTGCCCCTAAGTGGCAGTGTGCCCTAGGCGGCCACCTAGTTTGACTAGTGGAAGCACCAGCCCTGCTTCTGTACCTACGACTGAAACCATATGTATTTCACATATCATCTGGAATATTACTTGTTCATTTTCTTTTCTTAAATGCCTGTATGCTCATTAAATAATTTAAAAAAATTGTTCTCAGATATTATGCAATTATAAACTCAAAATGGAGTTTGTGTGGTGACAGGATCTCCTACATGTAACACCTACATGCCTCATGCAAGGATTTAGGGGCATGCTGTGAAAGCACATCACAACCTAGATTTTACCTGAGCCTTTGGATAAAATAGTCTATTTGTCATACATGGCGATCATGCAGTGCACTGCTGACCTGATCTGCCGTGCTGTGTATGAGCCTGGACTATGTACAGACACTTGATTATATGTCATAATGCTGATGGAAATAAGTAGCCATAGAATTTCTGGATTGGTGCTGTAAAATGTAAATCTTCCTGCTTGTCTCTGCAGTTCCTGAAGAAGGACCTATGGTTCGACCCAAGTCAGTGGAGAAGACGAGAGCAGTCATTGTATGGGATCCAGTTCCGTTAGAGAAACAGAATGGTTTCATCACCAATTACACACTGAAATATGAAGCCAAAAATGGCCCTGTAAGGAGTAAGTAATTATCTAACCATGGAGAGCCCAATACCTTCCTAAAATCATGTCTATAGGTTTTACAATGTGGTATGTCTGACACACTGGACAGATAACACAAAGAGCCTGAAAAGTCTGGCTTTCTCTTGTAGGGCCTGTTCACACCAAATATGTTGGGATGGGTTTCTCAATGCACATATGCCTAAAAATCATTTCTTTCAATGATAGCAGTTCACCCCATTGTGCTAAGTTGAACATGCTGCATTTTTTGTCAGTGCAATGTGCTTTAACACGTCATTGCAGCACAGCTTTTGGCAACATAAATTGGGGGGCATCTTGGAATCCAGCAAGAAGTCTGTGAATGCATAACTTGGCATCAAACAGCACTAGTGTATGGGTGATTAATCTTACAGCAGCACCCCAATATTATTTATTTTAGTTTGTAGTCATTTCAAATAAAGGTAAAGAAAAACACAAGTTCCCCTTTAAAGTTCAACCCATACTCTATCCATTCATGCACTATGGGCTGTCAAGACGAAGGAAGCCATATGATAGTTTGGTTGAGGACACAGGCAAATATGACAGAATGGAACGTTAAATCGATGGGTTTAGTTCCTCTTTATGATCGACTGCTGTTCAGAGACTCTGGGCTTCAGCAAAATGGCAGCCTCCAGCAAGAAGAAACAGGAACAATGCTGGGGGCAAAGTACAGCACACACTCATTTTTGTTAGCATAATTAATAATAATGTGGAATGTATGTTCCTTGCTAAAGAACATTATTTTTTTTATCAAGTTGTTATAGGTAAAGTTCCACTTTAGTAGTAACTATGGGGGCCCTGAGGTTGAAGTACAGATGTCAGTGTTTCAAGCAAATAGTCAAAGCTGTTAAAAAAAGAAAAAAGAAGAAATCAATCTTCTTAAACATGCGGCACACACTATTACCACTTGTGGCTATTTGCATATATGTGGCAGCATGGAGGAGGAGCTTATTTGGTGCTACCACATATATGCAATTTGTATGCTGAGAGTGCAGTCAGTAATACATCCACAGCATTTCAACAGATTTAGCATACTCCTGATCAAGCAGCAACACATATGTGGTGTAACCTAGTAAAGGCCCACCCCTGTCCTGTCACATAGTTGCATATACAGCAGGCACTACTAAGTAATACTTTGAGAAACCTTGATGAGTGTATAAAAGGACAAAGTACTTTTTTTACAATAGCAATATTTAAAAAAAAGAAATTCAGCACAACCACACATGCTTCTTCTTTCTAACACTTGCCCACATATTCATTCTTAAATATAGCAAAAATTTTATGTATTTTAAAAAGTAAAAATTTCATTTAGAATTTCTAAAATGCTTCACCTGGTGGATTTATAAACAACGCAGCCCTGGGGGAAACAAATCTGTGCGCGTTTTAGGTGTCTGAAATCTTTTCCTTGACGGCAACAGGGCAAACGCACTCTATCCTGGATAGCTTGGATCACTACTAATAGCTTTTGCCCGCTTTTTAGTTGACCAGAAGCCTTAAGGGAAATCCAGCCTGTAGTGGGTGTAGTCCCAAAACTTGTAGTGCGAACAAAGGCCATTTTACAGGGTGCAGAATTGTCCCTCTCTTCCTGTCTTCAGAGAGTGCACCCAGAAACAACTCTGCTGAGTACATTGTCTTAAAATAACAACCGCAAGTACTAAGATAAAGCCTGTAAGAGCAGACATCGAAAACTAATAAAGAAGATTCTCCAAACAAATCCCATACTGCAAACATTGAGAAGTCCATTAAATTCTACAGCCTCCTAAAGCACATGTTACACAGCATTTCTGAGTTTCCAGAGACTGGTCTGGGATCTGATGTTACGCACTGCACAGCTTAGACAGAAGAGCCTAGTGTAATTTCAGACCTGAGTGGAGGGAATGAACACACACCCCTCTATACAATCTCCTAGGGAAACGTACAGCTGAGGCTGTCAACCACGTGCTGTAGGGGAAGTTGAGCAATCATCCAGGATTGCTTGGTGTGGGTATAAACTCTTTTATAAGTGATGCATTCAGATAGTAGAAGAATCACGCTTGGAGGTTTGTATAGAAGCAAGTGCACACTATTGAAGGCTATGCTTTAGTTTTCATTTCAGGGGTTTACACCCATTTTAATAGGTGAAAAAAGCACTACAACACATAAAACACATTGCAATGTAAATAAAAATTCACTGCAGTGAAAATCACATGCTAATGCATGCTAAATGCCACATTGTGGTGCGAATACTTAGTGTTACTAAACCCAGGACCCTGCATTTCACTATATCTGGTCTCCCACAGTACACAGAACATGGAAGTGTAATTATTTTACTAAATATCTGCTGAATACCTGTTCTTATCAGCAGTTAGAGCAGTCTTGTGATTTCTGTCAGTGTCCAGCTGAGCACTGGTTAAAGCTTGAAGGGGAAGTTTTCATTTTGCTCTAGGAGGATGCAGAACCCCTGACCTCTGTTCACACCACAACAGTAGTATCACATGGAGATTTTTTTTTCCATCAGCTTTTCTGCACATATAGTGTGTATGAGGCCACTGTCTCCCAATGATTGGTTCGGGGAAAATGTATTTAATATTTCAGCCTTAAAAACTAGGTTCTGCGAAAGGTTCATGTCTACGGTAGTTTTCGGTTCCTGTAGCCATGATCCTGGTATAAGCACTTCTTGTCCAGGATATTTATATACATACGCTGCATGGAAAGTGGTTAAAGGAAGTTGACAAATAAGGTGTACTAGCTGGATCACCAGGTGAAAACTAAAAGAAAAATAGTTATAAATCAATGAAAACAATATAAAGCAATATATTAAAGTTTTGCTTTTGGGTTTAGATAAACTTTAAAAGAGGAACTCCTGTTATACAGCAACTTACATGAGAACTCAAACTACAACTTTCAACCTACTAAACCTTTATGAAAGGATTTGACTATTAATGGGGACCTGGACTTTAGGTTTTACCCCCCCCCCCCTTTCCAAAGTAGCCTTTATCCTTCTGCAGCATTTTATTCAAGGATGGGTCTGAAATGATTCCCATAATGCAGTGCAAGCTCTCAGTGCCCTGCTATGGGTTAGCTTTATAGTAGATATAATAAAAGCATAGACACACACATAGGGAAGCAGCATATAAACCTGCACTAGTCTCTTTATCAGGGTGAATATCCCAACCTTATCCGCACTTCATACCTGAGTGATCTTTACTGATGGAACAAGACACATCATTTCTAGGATGGAACTGTGTTCATTTCATTATATTCATATCCTCATTTTAAAACTATACTGTTTTTTTAATATTAACAAGAACTCTGGTCAAATATGATGCATAACACAAGATTTGCTTTGTTTTCTAGCTGTCACACTTAATTCCACTCTGACTGAGTATGTGATGACTACCCTGACCGGTAACACAGTATACAGCGTCAGTGTGACGGCCAACAATAAGATCGGAGGGAAGGAAGGCTTATCGTTCACGTTTTCCACCAATAGATTTGGTAAGGATCACACATTCAGAAAGTTCTGATCATAGACTGAAAAGTGTGTAAAGGGGAAGCTGTTCTCATTTCCCAGTGTAACCAGTAAGTCTTCTGGTTCATTCTCCCATATGGCACTAAGCAAGTAGAAGGGAATGTTCTTGCTGCACACACCAGAACCCAGCTCTTCCTTAAGACATATCGTTACATTATCTTTTCTTAATAGACCCCAAGTACTGTTAGTTTATCATGAAGAATGTTCATAGAAAACAGTAGATATCCAATATTCCCTCAACGGCCATTTTATTAGGTACACCTTGCCAAGAAAATATCCCCCACACCGTTAAACCACCACCGCCAGCAGCCTGAACCGTTCATACAAGACAGGATGGATCCATGCTTTCATTCTGTTTACGCCAAATTCTGACCCCACCATCTGAATGTCGCAGCAACCAGTCTGCCCATTCTTCTCTGACATCAACAAAGCATTTACCTCCACACAACTGCCACTCACTGGATATTTTCTCTTTTTTCCGACCATTCTCTGTAAACCCTAGAGATGGTTGTGTGTGAAAATCCCAGTAGATCAGCAGATTTTGAAATAGCCCAGCCCATCTGGCACCAACAATCACGCCACATTCAAAGTCTCTTAAGTGACTGGTTTCTTGTGTTAAACATTGTTTTTTCTGCAGTACAGATGAAGACTTCTGATAATAATCATAATTTGCACAGTTTTGAATGTATTAAAGCCAGAAGGTCAGCATGTGGCCAAATATCATCTTGACAAGGAGACATTGTCAACCCTCATTTTTGCCAGGGTTACTGTAAGCCTCACTGGTGTTTGATGCAGTGTTGGCTTTAGATTGAACAAATTTGTACACAAATTCCTACATGCGTTTTTCTTACTGCTTTAACTTGTCATTCATTTTCTCAGTAGCCATCACTGTGTTTTTGTTTTTTTTTTTCTTGTTTTTGTTTGTAGACACTGGAGAGGTTGAAGCAATCGTGGTTTCCTCTTGTATCGGTTTTTTCTATTACTTGTGCTTGTTGGTGGGATCCTGCTTTGTAACAAAAGAGATCTGTAAGTATTCAGTCATTCATTACACTATGGTCTCCCACTGGGGCGTGATTTACATGACCAGATGACAAGTGAATTATGATTGATTATATTGGTCAGTGGTCATTGGATTAAGTCAGTACTCGGTACTCCTGGGGTATTCCCTCCATGAAGTCTTGTAAGCTACTATTGTGCTGAAAATTATGTCTGCTGGTGGTGTTCTGATTTAAAATAAAAAGGCTGTCTATTAAAAGTAAAATTTGGGTTATTTAATTAATTTAATAGGAAACTTTATAAGGTCTGGCACAGTGTTTTATATGCAGTAATGTAAACCCAATCCAAGCATGGAATTTTGGAGTGTAGGAATGTGCCAGAATCCCATGCTGTAATTATTTATGGGTCAGGAGGCCACAGAATTAAGACAAGAAGTGGAGGTAAGGTTGGGAATATGTGATATTGTGAACAAGGCACCCAACCTCTTTGAACCCACTGGGGCTCATGGCAATGTTAACCTGTGACAGGTTAATGAACAAAGCATTGCAAGGTTACAGCAAGTGTCTGTGTTTTTTTTTTTTTTTTTTTGCATTAATCCACTTCCTGACTGCTACATAATACAGGCATACATGACTCCGCTTCATCTTGTCCAGTCTGCGGGCTGAAGGAGGTCAAATCGATTGGTTTCCCCATTAACCATGTGAATGGAGAAACCTCCACTGCTGGCTATTGTACTCAGACAATAGTGATAGGGTGCAGTCGCTTTTTGACCCATATCTTTCCACCTAGTTGATTTCTAAGTTAACTATTGTTGAGTTGGGTGGTGTCAATACGGCCATCTATGGCTTTAATTGTGGCCATAGATCTGGGAATCTGTGAAGGTTGGAGCTGTGTGAGGACCTAATCCTTTACTTGATTTACATCACAGAAAATGTGGCACTTTGTTGTGTGCAGTTGTAGAGTAATAAACATATTTTTTTCTTTCTTTTCAGGATTAAAAAACACATTTGGCCAAATGTTCCAGATCCCTCAAAAAGTAACATTGCGCAATGGTCTCCCCAAACACCTACACGGGTAAGTTAAACTCCATGATGGCCAAATAGAACTTAAAGAACTTCACTCGGCTTTCTTTGTTGCTAAAATTATTAGTTGTCTATGTTTTATCTTGTAAAATCTTTAACCCGGTTCAAGTCTTCATGCCTAGAGCTGCTAATTCAGGTATTCCCTCCTAGTGTGAATATTACATTTAGGTATGTTCATAGCTGAGCTAGTTCGACCCAATAAAAAGAAAAAATTGCTTGCGGTGTTGAAACTGGTGCATTATGTAGCCTACTTATTGTGAGGAGGGTGCCAAGCACTGGGTTGTATTTGAATTGCCCTCTGATTGCAAGGAAAAGAGGTAAAAAAAAGTTGTATTTAGTAACTTCAGGAACTCAAATCTTTTAAAAGCAGGTTATTGTTTTAAAATAAATATTGTTCAGCATTACTCTGCTGGTTTGTCTCTTGAAAATTGGTAGCTGCGTCTATCGTCACTGACAACAAGGGGGGGGGGGGGGGGGGTTATACACAATTGTGTCTAAAACTGACAGGCAGACTCCTGCCTAGGTGAAAGCAGTCCGCACACCCCGGTGATTACTTCTACGCATCCCGGTAATGGACTTTTGTGTCCACTATTTGATGGAAAAAAACATTAAGTAAAAAAAAATTTTTTTTTTTTTTTTTGCAAAAAATTAGTCACAACCAAGCACATAACATCTCCCCCAAACCCAGCCAACCCCCCCCCCACCCAAAAAAAAAAAATTTGAGGCCCACTACCCCACATATAGGCACGCACGTACGAACATAAATGTATGCGTCGGGGGCGCCTGCACATAAAAATGCCAATTTTGGATACACATATTACTTATTGCTAGGCATGCTAGTGCGAGCAATAATTCTAGCTCAAGACCTCCTCCGTTACACTAAACTGATGACCTGTAGGGGCTTTTGAATAAAAAATATAGGGTACTGAAGTTTGTCGCCATTTCACAGGTTACGCAGATTTGAGGTTTGAGATGTTTGGTATCTGTTTACTCAGTGCAACCCCGTCTATTATAGTTTACCAAAAATTTGGGTAATTTTTGCTTTTGTTTGCCCTAAAATTCATTTTAGTGTGTTTTTTGTTTTTTTTTTTACTCAAATTTGTTTACCTTTGTGGTAATATCGTGTGACATAAAAAATTGGAACTACCACTATTTTATTGTCTATGGTGTTTGCTTTCAGAACATATATTTGGGGGTTTTGTGTAATCTTTAAGCCTAAAATAATGTTTTAACCTTGCATGCAAAACGGTACTGGCAGCAAAAGGGTTAAAACAAATGAGCATTTACTACATTTACTTTTTTTTTTTGGAGCCTGTAAAGCATTGCACCAGCGATCTACTGCAGGTCTCCTGCAGACTGTCAGTGTAAGCTAGAATATATATATAGGGCAATGCAACAAAATACACCAAGTGCTACGCCTTCAAAAGGGAATATTAATAATCACTTTTGAAGGTTTAGCACTTGGTGTATTCTGTTGTGCTGTCCTATATATTTTCTAGCTATCTATAACATTGAGTGTGGTGATTTCACTTAAATGGTGTCAGCTGGCAACATTATTTTAAAGTGGAACTGCACTGTATCACCAAAAATGCTATATATATCATTTTTAATGTTATAAACTCCTCCATCCATGTAGGTCTCCATGCTTTATGCTTTGCTGAGAATTCATTTTGAAAAACGTCCCCTGGTGTTTCTTGCAGTGGCCATCTTGAAGAAGGGCAGATGATTCATGTAGCATTTACTTCCTGGAATCCATAAAAAAAGAGAGAAGTAGCGCCATCTAAGTGCAGCAATAAAAGCAAATTTATTTCCACAAAATTGGCAACTCGCAATAGTTAGTACTCAAGTGTCAAACTGGTGTCAACCGCTGTGCAACTCCTGGCTGGTCCCACTGCAAGCAGGTCTCCAATGCACTGTTGGTGTACTTGGCTGTGCTGGTGGTTCCCAGTACTTCCTGGTTGGTATGGATCCACAGAGCAGGCGGGAGTGATGTCATCTCCAGGTAAAACAGCAGTAGGCGTGGCACTCATTCAGAGCATGCATGCTTCTTCATCAGGCCAACCACCATCACAGCCGAGGACAGTGCATTGGAGACCCGCCTGCAGCTGGACCAGCCAGGAGTTGCACAGCGGTTGACACTAGTTTGACACGTGCTCATTTGACTACTACTATTGTGAGTTGCCAGTTTTGTGGAAATAAATTATTTGCTTTTATTGCTGAACTTAGAGCTTCTTCTCTTCTTTTTTTTTTTTTTTTTTTTTTTTTTTTTTTTTTATGGTTCACGGTCTCTTCTAGCCCTTTTTTTGAATCCGTTGCCACTGAGTCAAGCATTGTTGGATTATCCCTTAACCACCTTTTGGACTTTAAGGACTTTTACTTGTGTGGTTAATATACAAGCTACCACATTATACATCTACATCTGGTCTTTTTCTTCTTAGTGCGCCAAATATTTCTCTTGTACGTCCTGGAATCTATCTGCCCTTAGCTCAGGCATTGGCTGAGCTGAGAACCCTCCCCTCCTGAAGACTCCTGAGATGTATGACATTTACCTAGGCATGGAAAACCAGGAAGTAACTGAAGAAAAAAAAAAAAAAAATTAAATATGCAGCTAGTATTAATAATAATAATGATAATATATTCGTATTAATATAATAGTATATCATAAGAATTAAAAATAATCCATGTTGATTGAAAGAGTGAAGTTCCACTTTAAATTATTTAGCTCAACCAAAATAACAAATATACACCTATATTCCAATATTAAACAGTGTTTTATGTCAGTGTAAGCTGTCTGCTCGTACCTCATAAGGGCAGGCAGTTTTACGCCGACAGGAAGACTCAATGAACCACCTAAAGCAGTCTTTTTCAACCAGGGTGCCTTCTGGGTTCTTCAGGGGTGCCTTAGCAAAATGCCTAAAAATTGCTTGAAATTGCCCAAATATTGGGTACAGGCCAGCAGGTGGATCAAGACTTCTGAATTGTTACACAGTGCCACAGGTTTTCATTGTGCAATATTAAAACCTTGGGTACTGTGTAGGCCAGCCACCAGCGTCCTTATAAACCACTTACGTCATTAGTTGACAAGGACATCAGGCATCTGCTCAGCATCTTTGTTTGACCCTCTCACACCTCTGTGAGCACTGGAATCATAACTGTGTGGTTGAGAGAAAATGAAGTCGAAATGCCGGAACACTAGACAGTACCAGTGTGCAACTGTGTATTTGCTTTGAAAGAATAAATCGCCTCTAATGTGGGGTGTCCAGTGTGTGGATGTTGCTGCAATATGTAAAACTATTAGTTTAGGTTTTTACATTGAAATGATGAATGATCCCGAGGACCCTATTCTACAAAGGGTGCCTGGAATGGATAAAGGTTGAGAAACACTGACCTAGAGAGCACAACAGTGCAGTGGTAGTTCATTGAGAACTACGAGCCGACACCTGCAAAGGTTATTGGGACTTGTAGTTCATTCATTTACTGAAATCTGTGAATGAATGACGTGGCGCAGGCGCAGTGAGGTGTACTCTCCTGGTTCATTCACAGCATCTGCAAGGGCCATGGCACTCTGTCTTGTGGCCTGTGACTCCTGTCACCCAGTTTTATAGTTCTGGGCAGAGATGGCATTCCTTTAGCAGTACTCAGTGTGGCATTTTACATTCTTTACATCTGTGATTTAGTTGCATTTTTGAGGTACAAATCATGTCCCCCCCTCACTTTAGACATTAATGTGGCGCATACTGTATACATCACACACTTCTGGGGTGAACACCCTGCCTCTGCTCTCCTGTAATGCACCTAGGGATCCTAAAACACAATACTGTCTCTAATTTAAAGGTCAACAATGCTTTCTAGTTTACAATGCTAGGGCTGTACTCTTCACCCTTTTACTGTTGAGATGCCTTTCGGAGTGATGGGCAGATTGCAAAGATTGGCTGTTGATTGCATTACAGAGCCCGTATATATTGATGATCTTAGAATACTGTACAGGACAGAGTCTGTGTGTCATATTCTGTATGAAGTGACAGGTGCACTTTAATTGTCACATATGTACAATAACTTTTTTGTGTGTTTCTGCAGCATGAGCCAAAAAGCCATCCCTTCCAGGACGGTAGTTTTACTGATGTCAGTGTTGTGGAGATAACTGCTGATGAGAAGTCTTCATACAGTAAACAGGACCTGAAGTCTGTGGATTTGATCAAGAAGAACACATCCGAGGGCCTTAGTAGTGGTATTGGAGGTTCTTCCTGCCTATCTTCCCCACAGCTGAGTATTTCAGACACAGATGAAGTTGAATCTGGTCAGAATACATCTAGCACTGTTCAGTACTCTACAGTCATTATCAGCGGATACAGAGGACAACAGCCAACTGCTGCAGCCCTACCAACTTTCTCCAGGTCTGAATCAACTCAGCCTCTGCTAGAGTCTGAAGAGAGGCCAGATGAGCAGCAGCCCTTAGAAGTACCAAACCAGTATTTTAAGCAGAACTGCACTCAGGATGATTCTACAGGCAGGCAACAGGGCCTGCAGCAAGAGAACCTTTCTTCTCATATACATGAGCAAGGTCAAAGTCCACAACTGGCTGGACTTGGCCCTGAAATGAACCTTGAAGGTTTTAATGCTGGGCAGAATGTGAGTCTTGAATGTCAGCCAGCAGAGACGGACATTGAGAGCATGGAGATAAAAAGCTATTTACCACAGACAGTGAGGCGAGGAGGCTACTTGCCCCAATAGACTTTGAGAGCCTTATGTCAGAATATGGACTTCATTTTCGAAGCCGCCAATATGGACAAATGGAGGAGACTAAGCCAGGCCTGGTGCATGACTGCTTCACCTTTAAACTCATTATTACCAAAGAGGTCATTGACTTTCAGTGAGGCTGGGTTCACACCTTTCTGCTGCAATGTGTTGCGGCACTGCACATGTTAATGCATGTTACGTGTCTTGACACATTGTGGTGTCTCATTTTACAATGGCACCTCAATGCACAAAGGCAACAATGCTTCATTGCAGATGCTTTGCCCTGTTTGGTAAAGAACTACTATGCTGTGTTGCTGAAAGTGATACGTCTGTTTTGTTTTGTTTTTGATTTTTGGGTGCATTACCAGCCCATTCATTTGAAGGAGCTACCTTAATGCAGAACACTCTACCCTGATAGTGTGATAACAGACTGAATGTTCCTTATTCAGCATGATTTTATTTATCCCCTGAAATTTTGTTTTTGAATTGTTCAGCATTTTACAGGCACTAGAGTGAATATACTTTTTCTATTAATTATGATTGAGTAAATCTGCTTTAATGCAACTTCCCACATCAGAGCTTAGTTATTTCTGAATACACAGTTCATATCTGGATAGTGATCACCCTTTAGCAGTACCTTTTTGTGCATGTAAAATCATATGCATGGTATGTAAATAAAAAGCAATTCTGTAAACACAGATGACACAATCTATATATAAATATACTGTAAGTGTTCATATAATTGAAATCTTAAGACCCCCTATGTATGAACAGGTACAGCCAATTATTGAACATGTGGTTCAAATAATCTATATATTCTGCCTTTTAATGGCATTGCCACCATCTAAGCCAGTTGTCTTCAAACTGATGCCCTTTGCTTGCCTTTATCCAGCCCTTGGGGCACTATTCCTTTAACTGATATGAAGCACTAGTACTTCCATGAACACCAACAATGTGGCACTTTCTTCCCACTGACACCAACAAGACACTATGTCTTTCCCTGACATCAACGATGGGACAGTATTCCCTCTGCTGACGCCAGGAACAGGGCACTATGCCTTCCAATGATGTGAACAATAAGGGCAGTATTCCTCCCCCCATTACCAATGATGGGTCCCTAATACATCAGCTCCCATAGGTGCTATGTAATTTTCCTCCTCCCGTTAAGCCTTTGGCATTGTTTAGTCCCACTGCTATTGAGACATTTTCTGTTCTCACTGGCCCCAAACAAAAGATATATCAGGGTGAGAAAAGCCCATTTAAGACTAATAGTTGCCTTGACGTTGAGCAGCGTTTTCCTCTATGACCTGATATTTCCAGAAGCTGGATGTAATGTTTCCTCCAGAAGTTCAGTAGAGAATGTAGGTGTCAGTGCTCACCGACACTTCTCTAGGTGCTGAGCACATATTTGGGTGTTCATTTGCCATTCAGCACTTAGAAGACTACCATCAACGCTGACACTTGTCTTCCCATAGAGATGGGGGAAATGTTCAGGAAGCATCAGCTGGTACAAATTCTCATTCATTTTGCTTTGGACATAGGCATGCATCAGTGGCTCAAAGTTTTCGCTGGCAAGCATATTCATTAAGGCATTCCAAATCCGAGTAATCCAAGCCATTTAGTCAATTGTTTTCCATGTAGTTAGGTCAGCTAAAAAACAATTTATAATTGGTTGTGTTGCTGGGTGAATCCAATTAAAGGGAATCTGTCAATAATGCAAAGGTAAAAATGATCCAGAAGCTTGTACTTTTTTTGTTCTGTTTTTTTGAGTTTGACGTTGAACAAGCAATGCAGTTCTGGTGTGCAAACCTCAATGGCTGCATTCTTTGTTCTAGGTTAGGGACTCGCTGCAAGGAGTGCATCAGGGCTCCTCTGAAATTACCGGCACTGGCAAGCTCCAGTATTCTTAGTTTTTACAGGTTCAGTGCATAATTCAGAAGTTACAATCCACAATCAAGCCATTTATAATGTAGTTGGTGATTACAACAATAAATCCTGAGAAATGATGCATCAGAGAACACTGGCACATTGCTTACTCGACCTCTGGGGTCAAGTCCTGGTTATAAATTACATTTCACGTATTGCTCCTTGCGCTGCCTTACTGTATAAACAAGTTGTAGTTTAGTCATTCTTGCTATGGCTTTGCATACAGACAGGGCAGACAGAATTTACAGCTGATGTGGCTCGTGCATCTTTTGTAAGTAGTAGGTAGTAGCAGTATTAATGGACGAGTTTACGGTTCTGCACAATAGATCTGCTTTAAACCAAACTGGTTAAATGACAGCCCAATACACACCCCTTTTAGTAGTGTCTATGTATTTTCTTATAATGCCAAAGTGACAGTCACAGAACATTGACAGTTGAACATTTATAACCTAGTAATACCTTATCCAGCCTTCCATAGATCTATCTTCTAACTAGAATATTGGTTTTAAAGGTCTGTTTTTGTCTGCCGAACGTGCCTTGTACAGACACTCTCCGGAAAGAAATTGATAGGTGGGTTTAGTAGGCTTTTAATACTGTATAGTAATGTCTGTGCATTTGTTTTGTTTTTGTTGAACTGTACATGTTGCTCCTAGTATATACAATGTATATCACCCTTTACTAAGAAGCATTATATAAATAATACGCAATAAATGTTAGGGTGTTTTTTTTCCCAGAATGACTGTTTAATGCCCATACCATTAATATATATTTTTATAGTGTTCTTAACTATTAACGCTTTAATTTATTTTTCAATACATATTCTCAATCCATTGTCACATAAACAATGTACAAAATTGCTTTGTTTACAGTTGATACTAAATTTAAGTAACTAGAAAGCAATGTTTCTCAATAGACTGTGAAAGAAGCAGTGACACCTGCATGAGAATGCTCATTGTACACTCATTTCATTAAACTATGAACAATTAAAATCATTGTGTTTTCTGTAACGGTAGTCATACCCCTTATGGACCAGAGCAATGTTTATTTCTTTTGTTCATTGGAGGACACAGCCATACTTCATGATGGATGGATTTGTTGTCACCACCTGCAGGAGGCTAGGTAACTAAACTATATGCAAACCCAAGGGGCAGCCCTCTGTAGGTGGCCAAACCTACATCTGCAGCAAGGAGTTCAGTTATTGCCTAGCATTTCAATAGTTAGAATATTGAGCTGTCCAGCTCTTTGCTATTTTTTTTGCTGATCTCTAATTGGAGTTTTTAGTTCCAGTCAATGGATTTTTGTCCTGTCAGTTTTTGTTCTGTTTTCAATCAACTTTGGTGCTGGGTGAAGGGCCAGGTATCATAGATACTTGTTGTCCCCTCAATATCACCAATGACCACATGCCGTCCCCAGTATGTTGGGTTCAGCTGTGATAAATCTGTCTTTCACAGAGTGGCTTAAAAGAGAAGTATGCACAATCGTAATCCTTGTGAGCTCCCAGTACCTACAAATCTTTCCTGCCCTCTGAGAAGTGCACCATTTCTGTTTAATTCTTTTTTTAATTGCCTGTTGGAGGGGCTACAGACTTTCCAGGAGTCTCATGCCGACGTTCAGTTTGAGATCCACCCCCTGTTCTCTCCCAGTGATTGATGTTGGCTGTAAGCGCTCTGCTCATTTCCAAGACCACAGAGAAACGCTACACTCCTTACTTCCCTCTTCCCAGCTATATATATATATATATATATATATATATATATATATATATATATATATATATATATATATATATATATATATATATATACATACATCCGGACCATAAATATTGGGACATGGACACAATTCTAACATTTTTGGCTCTATACACCACCACAATGGATTTGAAATGAAACGAACAAAATGTGCTTTAACTGCAGACCATCAGCTTTAATTTGAGGGTATTTACATCCAAATCAGGTGAACTGTGTAGGAATTACAACAGTTTGCATATGTGCCTCCCACTTGTTAAGGGACCAAAAGTAATGGGACAATTGGCTTCTCAGCTGTTCCATGGCCAGTTGTGTGTTATTCCCTCATTATCCCAATTACAATGAGCAGATAAAAGATCCAGAGTTCATTTCAAGTGTGCTATTTGCATTTGGAATCTGTTGCTGTCAACTCTCAAGATGAGATCCAAAGAGCTGTCACTATCGGTGAAGCAAGCCATCATTAGGCTGAAAAACAAAGCAAACCCATCAGAGAGATAGCAAAAACATTAGGCGTGGCCAAAACAACTGTTTGGAACATCCTTAAAAAGAAGGAACGCACTGGTGAGCTCAGCAACCCCAAAAGACCCTGAAGACCACGGAAAACAACTGTGGTGGATGAGCGAAGAATTATTTCCCTGGTGAAGAAAACACCCTTCACAACAGTTGGCCAGATCAAGAACACTCTCCAGGAGGTAGGTGTATGTGTGTCAAAGTCACCAATCAAGAGAAGACTTCACCAGAGTGAATACAGAGGGTTCACCACAAGATGTAAACCATCGGTGAGCCTCAAAAACAGGAAGGCCAGATTAGAGTTTGCCAAACGACATGTAAAAAAGCCTTCACAGTTCTGGAACAACATCCTATGGACAGATGAGACCGAGATCAACTTGTACAAGAGTGATGGGAAGAGAAGAGTATGGAGAAGGAAAGGAACTGCTCATGATCCTAAGCATACCACCTCATCAGTGAAGCATGGTGGTGGTAGTGTCATGGCGTGGGCATGTATGGCTGCCAATGGAACTGGTTCTCTTGTATTTATTGATAATGTGACTGCTGACAAAAGCAGCAGGATGAATTCTGAAGTGTTTTGGGCAATATTATGTGCTCATATTCAGCCAAATGCTTCACAACTCATTGGACGCCGCTTCACAGTGCAGATGGACAATGACCCCAAAGCATACTGCAAAAGCAATCAAAGAGTTTTTTAAGGGAAAGAAGTGGAATGTTCTGCAATGGCCAAGTCAATCACCTGACCTGAATCCGATTGAGCATGCATTTCACTTGCTGAAGACAAAACTGAAGGGAAAATGCCCCAAGAAC